GCTCCACAAGTTCAAATAACAAGCACAGTAACTACATGATTATTTACTTTGGGTTTTGCCTTTGCTGGTCCTTTCATTGGGGCTTACGTGCAGACTTACATGTACTTAGCTCAGTGAAGTGTGGTTTAGCAAAATACAGTCCAACAGTAAACATACAGAAAATTTTATCTTCATCTTCCTCTTCTACAGCACAAAGTGATAACGTTATAATACATAGTTACATCACTAAACAAGGTAGTTATTAGATCAGAAATCTCTACCTTGTATTATACTGGGGATGTTTTTTTTGTGGTTTGCATCTGTCTTTTTCCTTTCCGGAGCCCATCTGCCTCACCTCAGATAGCAGCAGTGATTTTTCCATACTGCTAACAATATTTTTATTTCTACCCCTAGTGTTCCCAAAATGCTTATCCAGTAACAGTTCATACAGCTGTGCTCACTTCATCAGCAAATCTTCTGAGAACTCCTTTTTAACTCCAGACGTAAGTGCTCACTGTATTACCGTAGACTTACGTTAACAACACTGAGTTTCCAGTGCAACTCCAGGTAATTGAGAAGAAATTGTCTGATCTTCAGTCTACCTTGGCGAAGACTACAACTGGGAACAGATACAGTGCATGCCACAACTGCCTTGCTTCCAGGGAGGCATGTAACCTACCATAAGGAAGGCTTGGGGTGCATCTAAGGGAATACTTGTGTGTGTCCCCCAAAGAACCCACTGCAATAGGGCAGTGAGCTTTTTCTTTTTGCTTAGTAGAGTGACCAAGTGTGTCAAGAGCTGCACGGGAGGCCCTCAGCTGCGGTGTTCTTTACTCTTGTGGCAACGCACCCTCCCTGAGCTGCAGCCAACCCACGTGGGTTTGGTCCAGCATTTGGCAGTGGTCTCCTACAGCTAGCTCTATGCTGTGAGGAGCTTCCTTCATGACTGCAGTTGCCTGGGAAGGTTTTTCTTGAGCTTCCAGATGCCTTAGAGCAGTCTGCACCTGAGGCAAGGACTCAAAACCACAACCTCTGGCAATCAAGGCAATAATCATGCTCAGGTAAATCCCAGCTTCAGCCTGTACTTGGGAATTTCATCCTGCCTGTATCTGCCCTTCCTTCCCTTAGGGAAAGAAGCAATAAGGCCATGACTTTGTTCTGTTTTGTTCACCAGAATGTCCAAGCAGGTTCAAGTCATTCTTTGAGGGCACCGGGGACATGTTCAAACCTCATGCTTAGAGAAACTCTTCTCATCTGTTGCTTAGGGACAATGTGACAACGTGAGACCAAACCAAGCAGCTCTTGGAGAGCAAGACCTAGTACCCTGACTTTTGGTGCCTTCAAAGGTTGTGTGTCTAGAAGTCCCACTTGCCCCTCCCCTTTTTTCTAGGCAAAACAAAAATTGTTGGGTAACTGGAGATTAAGAAACTGGAGTAACTGGAGAAAAATAAACAAAACAAACAGAAAAGCTTTGGCATCAATGAAAGTAGGAGGCTAGACAGAGTCTAAGAAGAGATGAACACAGGACTTGGGCATGGAGACATGACAACGTATTAGCTACTCTGCCACCCAGATGAACTCTTCTGGGGCTCTTGCTACTGCTCCCTTCTTGCTAGACTCTAGAAGACAAGGAAATTCCTGGAGAATCATTCTTGGAGGACGGTTGGAGTCAAGTCTGTTCTCTTCCAGCACCAATGATTTTTATGAAGCTGCCAATGTCCTTTGCAGTAGGTCCTGCCTGGGACACAATGGGATCAGAAGGTTCCACCATCTCCTCTGAGCTCCTAAAGGGCTGACTTTGCCTTGTGAGTCATTTCTTCAGTTTGTCCCCTGGGTTTTCCAGATGAATCTCTGTTTGTGATCTGAAGACCCAACAGCTCTTTCTTAAGAAAGAAAATGGTAGGGCAGATCTCCATTTACTTCCAAGAGGGTTGTGGAAACAAGCAAAAGTGCTGCTCACTGTCACTAATAGGATCACAGAATCATCTAGGTTGGAAAGGACCTTGAAGATGATCCAGTCCAACCGTTAACCAAGCACTGACAGTTTCCAATTACACCAGATCCCTCAGCGCTATGTCAACATGACTCTTGAACACCTCCAGGGATGGGGACTCCCCCCCTGCCCTGGGCAGCGCATTCCAACACCCAACAGCCCCTTCTGCACAGAAATCCTTCCTCAGAGCCAGCCTGACCCTGCCCTGGGCAGCTTGAGGCCATTCCCTCGGGGCCTGGTGCTGGCTCCTTGGCTCCAGAGACTCATCCCCCTCTCTGCCCCCTCCTGGCAGGGAGTTGCAGAGGGCCAGGAGGTCTCCCCTCAGCCTCCTCTTCTCCAGACTGAACCCCCCCAGTTCCCCCAGCCGCTCCCCAGCAGACCTGTGCTCCAGACCCTGCCCCAGCTCCGTTGCCCTTCTCTGGCCACGCTCGAGTCATTCAATGGCCTTTTTGGGGTGAGGGGCCCAGAACTGAACCCAGGAATCGAGGGGCGGCCTCAGCAGTGCTGAGCCCAGGGGTCAGATCCCTTCCCTGTCCCTGCTGGCCACACCAGTGCTGACACGACCCAGGATGCCATTGGCCTTCTTGCCCCCCTGGGCACACTGATGGCTCATTATCAACCCCCCCATGTCCCTCTCTGACTGGCGGCTGTCCAGCCTCTCCTCCCCAAGCCTGTAGCACTGCTGGGGTTTTATATATATATATATATAAATACTCTCTTTGTAGACATACACAGTTAAAACTTATTTCCTTCCATCTCTCCAAAAGATGATTTGTGGATTTCTCTGCTGGAAAAAGTTTAATCTGTCCAATTTTGTCATCTAGTTCCAAAGGAAATACAGGTGTGGACTGAACTGCAAAGTTCTAGGTGATTAAAAATGCAGAAAGGGGTGGAGGTTTGACATGTACAGTTTGACCTGGAACTTCCAAACACTTGTAAGCAAGAATTCTCTGACATCACCCACTTTGGAGCCTGTTTGCGGGCAGCACTGACCCAGCACCAAAACCGAAGCAGCTGCTATAATCCAGAGCACTGCAAGGTACACCATGCTGTGCATGCATGTAAATTCCTGTCAGAATAATTTTTCTTCAGTGCTTATTAAGAGCATACAGCTGTCTTGGGGAAATACCAACATTCATTTTTTCTCAGAGGTGAAACCCTGTACTTGAGGAAGTACAAACTCCCTTTTGGAGGCAGCTTGCTTTTTTGTGTCCTAAGTGATTCTACATTATTAGCCATAGACTGCCCTGTAGTGGTGAAGCCAAAATCTGCAGCCTTACCGGCTTTATACAGGATCTTTTAACTTCCTTGTTTAGAAGCAGTTTGTCCAGCACTAGAAGGGACAGAAAGAGACTAAAGAACAAAAGAAAAATATTAAGCAAGGGAGATTTTAGCCTTCAGTGTAAATATAGTGTGCAGCAAAATGCCACCACTGACTTGGAATATTTTAACTCTTTTTAATAGGGAACAAGACAGATTTGATCTCACATTGTATCTCCTTGTCTCCAGAAGGTATTTGCTGCCATCAGTCAAATTTAACTGCAAAAATTAAGGTCTCAAAGACAGCTAAATGTCAACAGATTTTGAGAAAAGTGGTTTTTACAAACAACTCAAGGAAAAGTATGGCTGTAGTGTCAGCACAGAATTTGATAGACAAGAAAGAATCCGCAGAGGAAAGTCGTCTTCTAAGTGGCCCAGGACGTAAGTCCCAATCACATCTCACAATGGACTTAGAGATTCAAATCCTTAGAAACCCATACTAAAGCAGAAACTAGACTTCATTATTTCTGAAGCTTGCTTTGTAAGCTCACAAATCTCACCCCTCCCCCCCCTCCCCAAATTAGCTGTCTAATCATAATATTCTAAAGATGCAAAACTTCTGTAGTTTCATTTCCAGTACATTCCCACCAGTGTCTGCATTCTACATTGCAACACGTTTGGCAGGGCTAGTAGTAGCACAAAATGGTGCCATCAATCCTTTAGGTCGCAAAGTTGGCTGTGGACCAAGCAGTTACTTTAAGTTCTCAGAAGGATAAAGCACAATTAGTGTTCATTAACAGAGCCAAAATAATACCAGAAGCATTTTTCACATGCAACAGAAGGTGTGGATTACCCTCATTGTACTTCAGAAGATTCAAGAGAGATATCCATCTCTCAGCTAATCTCCTTCATCTCCCCTTACAGTAAGATGAGATAAACAGGCACTTTAGAATGCAGTTCAGCTAATCTCCTTTGGATATGCCCTTTGTTGTGAGACAAATTAATCTCGAAAATGGCTATTTGTCTCCATTTCCTGTAAAGCCTTGTATTATTAACTTGGCGATGAACATTTGTTTTGCAAACGTTGGAATTTGGAGACCTCCTACTGTAGCACTAACTATACATCACTCAAACACTGACTGAACTTCATATTCTCATAGTTGAGGGACTACTTCCTGAGTGAAAATACATAACTGTGATGAACTGAGACAGTTCTAACATACTCAGCCCTGCTAAAATGAGATCTGGTGCTGAACTAGAAGTTCCTCCAAGTCATCTGAATCACTTCATGATGCATTATTCATCTTTGGTTTTGTTCTGCCAGACAGCATCATATCTGTCCCACCTTACACATTGGGTCCTCCAGACAGCTTCTGATATTTCAGTTTTTAAGGAGCCAGAAGTAAATGCCCCCAAAATTTAGGAAGTATGTCAGCTGACCTCCTATAACTTGAAAAAGAACTTTTCTTTTTTAAAACTCAGGCTCATCAAGACAGCACGTGAATAAGTACAAACCCCATGTTTTTTGAAATGTGCTTTTAATCACTAGGAGAAAATAAACTGATTATAAAAGGATCCAAAAGGCTGTGCACTTGGAAGAATACAATTTTGTGTTCTTATTTTGCGCACAAATAAATAGAGCACTGTTAAAAACAATCAGAGAACAAACAGGATAAAGGAACTGGGAAAAGCAAAGTTCAAAAGCAGCCAAGGAAGATGGGAATGGTGCATAGTCCTTTTAGTCGAATGCTGGTAGGTTTTTTCCCCTTCACTGTGATGTTAAGCTGATGGCCCTCTTGATACGGTTCAAAGTGTCATTTTCTTCTTTGCTCTGCGACTCTCTAGAGTGTGATGTGCCGCATGTGGTGTCTTGGCAGCTGCAGCTTTCCACATATATATACTTATGGGAAATGGAATGCCCATTAGGGCATTTCAGGATCACTTTCTTCACAGTAGTCTTTGATTCCCTGCAGCAGGAACATTTGTGGTCCATGGAATTGGCCTCAGCAGAGTATCTGTTAACATGGAAAATGGCAACATTACTCTGTGCCAAAAGCCAGCATACAGAGAGGGTGAAGTTAGGTACAAAACTCCTGGGAGAGGTTTGGAATAATATGTAGAAGAGTCGGAGAGGTTTGGAATAATATGTAGAAGAGTCACAGTTGTAGCTAATGGAAATGTTAAGCTCATCTGAGAGAGCAGTGGTTATAACAATATGCTTTTAAAAATCATTGCATTTGCTGAGACTTTTTTCTGGTAAAACAATTGGTATCAAAGTCCTAGTAAAAAAAAATGGGTGAGTTGAAGGAGCCCAGTTTTCTTAGATTCCTCTCACCATCCCAGTGCTGATGGATGTTAAATACACCAGATCAACAATTAAGGACAATGTCCTGACCTGAATAAGAAAACTGCATAGACAAGTGGCTACAATTCCACCTACAATGGCATCACATCAATTAATTTGCTACAAGGGCTACAATTGCGTCGTGTAAATCAAAATGCATGTCCCAAACCAGTCAGTGTTAACAGGAAGGGGAAGCAGCAGCTCTTTCTATTCCTATCTCACAGCAAAGTATTTTTTGCAGCCCTGTGTTCAACAGCTTCCCAAACACCATTCCTAACATGAAGAATCTGTCAATATCAGGCTATAAACTGTGTCAAGTGCCATCTTTTTCTTCTTTTTGTGTGCAGAGGTCACCACAACGAGGTTCTAAGATGATAAGGTATTTCAAAATCCTAATAAACCCCCTTGCTAACTGGGGTTCAATCTGAGACTAAAGATCAGTTTTCTCCCATGTAAGGTGCCCTGTGCCATACTCAATGATAGGCATCATGTCACCGTTTCTTTGGGGGGTTAGAATTATGTTTTTCCACTATTTTAATAGCTCAGTACCAGGTGTCCTACTAGCCACCTTTTTGTAGATTCTCTCATTTCACATAAAAATGTCCAGGGAAACTACTCTACTCTCACCACCCCTAAAGCATTTCTTTTCTAATTTCTTTACTGTGTAAAATTTGTGCATGTTTGAATCTTCCTTTGGAAGATGTGTCTGTATTTCATTTCAGACATTAAATACTGAGAAGCAGCTTTTCAGCTTATGAGCATCGGATCTGGCTGATCTCTGGGCTCATTCCCATTACAGGAAATAACCCATTTTCTTCTATGATGAAGATCAAGGTAGTCTGACACAAATGACAGCCAAGCCAGCTCTTAATAGATTAATAGACCTTACTATAGCTGTTTGTGTCCCAAGCTGAGTTAATACACTTTTCTGCTTTCTATTAGGATGAATCAACTGTTCAGCCACAGATTTAATGATTTTGTGCCCATGGTTCAGAGAGTTGATAGTTTCAGGTCCTCTACCATAATGTAGTCTACCTATTTATTGTCCCTTTAATATAAACACACTCTGTGCCGGCAGAATTAAAATCTCATTGTCCGATCAGTTTACTTACAGTGAGAAGGTTCCACATGTTCCTTCACATTCAGTCATGACAACTCTGTCCACAGAACGGCAGCCCTTATGGACAATGAAGTCTTTTCTCTCACGGACAGTGCATGGTGATGTACTATCCAGAGGTGCACCTGTAGGGACAGATTAGAAAATAGTTTCAGTGAAATAGTTCCCGAAGTTCCTTGCAGTTCAGTACTCTCTGGGCTTCACTAGTGCACTCGAAGAATTGTCTTAAGTGGTCTTTCTGCTTCAGTTTAAACTTTCCCGGAGAGATTGGACAGTGAATGCTTGGAATGACAAACATAAACATAGAACTATCTATTTAAACACGAACAGATCAGCTTCTATGGCTGGACAATAGGGTGATCTAAGAGGAAAATTCATTCTCTGCATTGTTGATTCAGGTACACTGGCATACTTACAGGTTTTGCAACAACCGTTAGGTAAGAATGTAATTGTTCCCTAAAAGAACAAAGAAATAAAAAACAATATTATTTTCTTTTACTATATTAAAGAGACTTTTAGACCAATAACTGAGGAGAGCAATTTCTCAATGACTGGAAATAACCATCAAAAACTGTAGTGTTGATCTGAATAAATAGAGATAATGCTCTCTTCAAGACTTGAAATCTACCGATTTACAAGGGATTGTGGAAATAATGCTTGGAAGGAAGTCTACAGTTAACATTATACAATTTTTTTCTTAGAAACAATTCCAAAAAATGTTTTCTCGGGGACTATGCACCATATTACTAGCAGCCTACTGACTGAAGATTTGTATTTCTGTCACATTCATCACACATGGTTCTTGTTCTGACAGGACACCACACAGAGCAGTCAGTGAGGATTTTATATCTCAGAGCTTGGCTACTGAGAGACAGCTGGCAGTTATAAGCCTTGAACTCTCACCCAGATATCTTATTTTATACTCTCTGTAGGTCTGTGCTTGGATGCAGCAGAAACTTTTGCCCTTGGGACTGAGAAACTGGTGAAAGGTCGTCAGAGCTTAATTTGATGTTTGTTTCTAGTTAGATGGCTGCACTGAAGTGATCTATACATTGACTAGAGGGTAAGTTTTCTATATTTACTTACAGGTTTGCAGCTTTCCTCATTGAATGCTGGGCAGGTAATCTCAGATGTGGAAGAGACAAATTGGTTGTGGACTTTTACACAGCTATAAATGGTGCAGTTGTTGTAGGGATCATTTTTAAACTCTCCAGGCTGCAAGCAAAATACAAAATGTAACAAGGAAAGTTGACGGGAGCTCCGACAGAAATTTTCCTGTCCTCTGATAATGACTTTCTTCTTGTTTCCCAGACAATTATTTTTAGGCTAATGGCTGTTTTGGATACAGGTTATTACTTTTATTGCAGTATGTGGATAGAATCTTCAATTTTACATGGGATTTCCCTTGGAAAAGAAAAACCCCTCCAAAGTATTTAGAGTTATTAAAAAAACTCATCAATGGATTTTGCCTAGGGAAAGCTGAACTATTATATGGTAATTAAGAACAATTCTAACCTTTCACCCTACAGGGGTAATAAAATTGTTTCATATGCAGCTTTTACCAGTGTTTTTCAGTACACAGAAATCAAATAATATAAAAAAGCCCAAGCTTCCAGACATTGCAAGAAAAATCCTTCCAATGGCATTGCATTTGTCATTACAGGAAGAGACTTCCAGAAAATTTGATTTAATGGGTCCTTCCTCCAGGCCAAAAAAATTGTAGATAGGCTTTGCTTTAGGTGAGCCTCTGACCTTTCAGGTGCAAACTTACAATAAGCCTTACTTCTGACAAGGAGACGTTCCCTCTCTGAAAGGGGAAACTTTACAAATTTGATAGAGATGTAAGATGTAGAGCATACTTACACTCAAAATGAGTTGCGAATTATGTGCTGTACGTATAACACACTTAGTCTGCACACATTTTCCACAACATTCACCTTGCACTGGTTGATGTTCATATCCCTAGATATTAAAATTAATTAAAAATGAAAGCACAATACATTCATTTTTGAGAAATAAATGAAAACATGCTAATGAATTAACTGATTATGCTTTGACATGCACTCTAGATTTGTGCCTTTCTGTGCCTTTCTGTGTTCCAACCCAACGGAAGACAAGTAATAAAAGCAGGCTATGGATGGAATAAATTAAAGCACTATAAAAAATATTCCTAATAATTAAATACCATTCCATTAATTTCTCCACAGAAATTTCCCAGCTAATCATCCCAATGTGAATGAAATTCTGTAAGTTACACAATCAAGCTTCAAGCAATAGATTGCTCACAGACAGTTGGCATCAGCGCTGGAGTTGGACTCTGAATTTCTGCTCCTGTCCTTTGCTTATAACTCATTGATCAAACTATTTTTAATGTACATTTGTTTTGGTTTTTTTTTTTTTTGTTTTGTTTAGGTTTGGGGTTTTTTTGCTTAAGTTTGTCACTTACCGGTTCACAGTATGTGTTGCACGGAATATGTTCACATGAGATTATGTTCAGTTGAGTGCTGACATTAACTTCATTAGTGCAGAAACAATTCTGACATTTATCCACAAAGACTGAGGAATTGGGCTATAAATTTTAAGAAAAAAAAAAAAAGGTTGATATTTTAATGAGATATGACATGTGTGACAGACATTTCTTACTTTTCAAAAAAGCAATAACAAAGGAAACAATCATAAAGACTATTGGATATGTATTTGGCTAGCCATTTATGAAGACAACATTTGAAATACTGGATTTAATTTATCATGTGTCTTTACTGAAGTCCTATATAGCAATGATGAACTCAGATATTAAAAAGACAGGTGTACAAATATCTGTAATAAAACAATTACTAGACCCAACAAAATTTATTAGGAATCTAAGTCTGTTTAGAATAATACTTATTTACAAATCTTCTCATTTTTAAAAGTAGAGTCTTAAAACTTCAATAATGTGCTAAGAGCAGATGTGGATTGACTTTTAAAAATGCATGCACACTAACTCTAAACCCAAATCTCTCTCTGATACAGATATACAAACAACTCTTTGGTCTCTTTCATACACAGTAACCTTTTCAGATAAGATACAGGCTTTGTAAAATTGATGAACTCCTGACAGGAATTTAAAAAAATTATAAAATATTGATTGTACTATATAACCCTCCTCATAGAACTTCTGATAAAGTATATTAACTGGTCTTTTAAGCATCTTCAGAAGACTGTTGAAAAAGAAACTTACCAAGAACTCAGCATTCTGATGTACACAAACCCTTTTGGGAACTGTTAACAAACAAGAAGTTAGGTGGTTACATAGGGGAAAAAATAAGAAAATATTTTCACCCCACTCTAGTCAAGCTAATTTCTTCCACAATGAATCATATATGAATATGGTCAAATATATTGGTTATTCCTCATTTCTGGGAGCACGTATGAATATGTAAATACTGCATGTGCAAAAAGGGAGGAAGATTCAGCCCAGTATACACAATCCAACCCATAGCCAAGAACGTCCACTTAAAAGGTACAAGTGGTTCCTTGTTTTAATTACAATTTGTAAAGCTATATTCTACTGGGGATGCTTACAGGGACATTTTGCTAGATTAAGGTAAGACTACAGTCCTAGTTAATTTTGCAGCTTTCTTCCCATGTATTTACAACCAATAAAACTGAACTTGAGCCACCTGAGCTATATCTGATTTCATAGCTGCCCTTCATAATCACAGCAGTAGTAACCAATGTTAATAGTAAACAGTTTGTAGAATCTGACTGTGTAATTCCTCTTTCAATAGGCTATTGCATACAGTTTCACTGTGATACTAAATTATGTAATATATAATGCTAATAATTGTAGTATATTTCCAAGGGACTTACCACACTCGTACACAGGACAGCAATGACCACTGGGAATATGAGAATGAACTTCAAATCCCAGTTTACATTTGGGGGCTTTAGCTGTGCACAAGCTTGTATTGCATTCTGGGGGAAAAAAAAAAAAAAGGTCAGAAAGTACACTAAATCACAGCTACTAGAAATGGGCATCTATCTTAGTCTATCTTAGGATAGACTTTCCATTGCTAGGAAACAGTCCAGATCCTCTTCAAAGAAACAAATTGCAGAAAGAAAACATATTTTTCCTAGCAAATTCAGGCACTGGACTGGAGGACTGCACTAGTTTATGAAACTTTTTCTACTATGTAATAACCAAGTGTAAAAATGTATCACAATTCTTTGCAGGATAGAAGAGGACAACAGTTACTGTCTCCAAGGTTATAGGCAACTGCTTTAAAATGAATATCCACATAGAATTCCATAATCTATCTGCATTTTACTTGAATAAAATGTGGTTCTGAACTCTGTAACTATAGACTCAGTTACTTTGAATCCCATAACTGTAAATTCAGTTATGCTGAATCACTGTGATATTAAAACATGCTTTCCCTAACAGTGGAGGAACACATGAGGAGAGATACTGTTTTGTGACTCCCTGCTGCAGGTCTCTGGTGCTAAGCTAGTTCAGTTCTCTTTTTCTTTCTGTTCCTAAAAGATATAGAAAGATTAGAAACAAAAGCATAAACTCACTACAGGTGACGATGGGGCAGCAGAAGTCTTCAGAATTGACTTCATTGACCTCATAGAAGCCTTCTCCGTCACAACTGGTCTTATTTGGTTTGGCACATTCATGAGGCTCACACACAATGCCACTTCCACCTTCCAGGCAAATACAGTCCTGACAGTCTATAGTAAACCTTTCCCCAAACTGTCAGAAAAGAAAAATAGAGTGATTATGGGGTTACCAATTAAAAAGAACAGAAGTAAGAACAGGAACGAAAAGCTGGGACACCACAAAACAAGGCTGCATCGGTTGGAGACCAGTCTCCTCTCCTCACCCCCAGCCTCTACTTGAAATACAAAAGCATATGGCAGCGTACCTCTCTTGGTATCTTATCCACTCCAACACAGCCTGTGAAAATATAAAAATAAATGTCCATTACCACTCATATAACAGCAGACATCTCTACTATTTGCTGTATGAGTACTGCATGCAGTCAGATCTATGTTGCATACATTGAGAAGGAAATAACAAAGAGGAAACAAACACACATCCAAGTGAAGCAGTAATACTCACCACAGGTTTTCACGCAGACGTCCACACCAGAGTCATACAGCATTGTTCCATTAGGACAGAAACAGCCCTCCACTTGTTTAGTTGAAGTTTCGTTTTGTTGACTGCATGAGACAAAAGGTCAGATGAACACCAAGAGTTTCATAGGCATGGGGAGGAGGATTGTGCCAAATAACTTTTCACTGGAGATACAGGGGCAAATGGTCCACACGTTTGTGATTTAGGGATCGTCAGTGTTCATGTTTGCCATAGCCAAACAACATAAACAGTGCAGGCATACATATTTAGGACCAAGAGAATAGTGGTACCAAATCTGACAATCAATTTAAGACATGACAGGAGGCTGATTTCTCTCATCCACCTGTTCATTACATGTGACTGAACAGTTGTATGAACTATAACTAACAGTGAAGAAATTATTTACCTTGATTTGCAGGTTGTCTCTATAAGAGGACCACATGCTCTGTATTCTTTATCTGAGGGGCATTTATAAGCTGGAATGGGAGAATAAAAAGGAGGAAGAGCTCAATAACAATATCATATAAAAGCCCCATGACCTTATGCCAAGAAATTAAACACTGACTACTCATTTTCCTGTGTATCTTTGACAGTCTTGAGAAGCAAAGAGGAAAAAAACCCAGATATCAGACTCGTGATTCTGAATGAAATTATCTTACTCGATTTAGCCATAGGGATGTAGCACCATACTTTACATTAAGGAGATAAAGCCAAGAGTCTACATCTTGATTACATTTTTTTTCATCATTTCAGTCTCTTTTGCACAAGTTCTCAGAGGGTAGTGTATTCCTACTTTCTGTCATCTTGCTACAGCTGAAAATGAATTCATATTGCACTAAATACAGAGTGATCTGCTGATGCCTGCAAAGCACAAAACTGCCTATGTACAAAAATGTATCTACTGATACAGGTATTTCCGGAACAGTCAATAGATGTATATTTTTGCAGGCTCATTTATAATTTCCATTGTTAAAAATGTTACCTATAAAATTACTTAAGGAAAGTATCTGGTGTGATTTATTGATATCTTCATTGCTCAGAAAGCAATATGACTTACTGTTAGGACATTATTGCTGAAAAAGTTCCACATAAGCTTCCCTAATAGTTCAAGATAAACAGCAAAATACTTACAGCAAACACCATTGGTGTGACTTCTCCAGTCAATGCACACACTTTGATCAGCACAGGTGGCAGCATAGATCTGCAGACTTGAGCATTCCAGGTCTAAGTTGGGAAGCACACAGCTATCAAAAACGCAGGCTGCATAGTACTTTTCAGGCTGGACAAAGCCATGGCATGGCTCAAACACACTAGAGGCAGAAATATTTATCATTATTAGTTATTGAATAATCCATAAATTCTTCAAAGTATATAACATGGTGATTAAGGAGATGTGAACAAGGACTATTAGTGAGACATTTTCACTAAGAGCACTTATCTGGATTGTAACCTTTCAACATAGATTAGAACGTTCTCCCCTCACCTACAAAACACTCAGGCACCAATATTTTCTGTCCAGGAGCTACATGAATATTATCAACTGTAAACATGAACTACTTTTTCTAAAGATATTTGTGGTTTTGGTTTTTTTGGTTTTGGTTTTGGTCGTTTTGTTTTTTTTTTTTTTTAAATTCTAACACGACATTCTAAAAATGCAGATCTTTGTTTTCAGTTGGACTCTGGTTTCTGCTGAGTGTGGGAAAAGGCAAGAGCATAGGACAATGGGGAGCAGACAGCATAGAATAGCATGAGAACATGAAAAAAGGTTAATGTAGCAGCCAGAGGGTTGGAAGCAAACTGTCAGCAAAGAATGACATCTAGAAACAGTAAAAAGAATGGAAGCAACTCACAAAGCTACAAGAAATGGAGCAATAGTTAGAAACACTTTTTATTGAGAAATTAATCCTAAAATTGCCCCTTAATTTGAAGATCAAAGCCTTATAAACCCCAGAGGAATGTCTACCTTCCCAGAAGTAGCTCGCAGATGAGAGATTCTTTGCAAGGCTTCACTGGGGTTGTGATAGGTGCTTTGGTAGGAATCAGGCCTGGAGAGCACTGTGGTTTGGAGGGATCAACAACTTGCCAATGATCTGCCATGGTTTGACAGTTTTCTGCAATTTTTCCATTCGGCAACATGCAGTCATCTGCCGTGTTGTTATTGCAAGTACCTAAAATTGGTAACGGGAGAAAGAATTCACTCACAGATTTGCTATGAAATTCCATTCATCATTGTGGCAAGGCTGTCGATTATCTGTCTGTGGTTTTCTGAGAGAACGAATATTACAAGAGTAAGCCTTACCACACTGTCCATGAGTGTTGTTACCAAACAGGCTGTAGGGCATTCTGATGGAAAAGGACAAGCCGTTGTAGGTCACATTCATCTTTAGTTCAGGGATTTCCACTACACGATTTATTCCTGACTCATAGATATTCAAGCCAAATTTTTTATAAGGCAAAGCCACTGCCTGTTTGTTTACTGTCACCTAATAGATAAAAGAGAACAGAAAAGAGGCTTTTATTTAGTTTGACTTTAGAAAACCATTGGCTGTTCATCACTTTGCATTAGAGGTAGAATGTAAAGGCAAATAACATGATTTAAGTTTGTAAAAAGTATCCCTGTGTTTCTTTTTATGTTACTGGAAAGTTAAAATTTCTGAATCAAAGAATAGGCCTATGAGCCGCTGATAAACCAGGCTAAAATTCAGAGTTTAAACCAGCTAAATTACAACACTCAACAGATTTATTAGAGTGACTATGGCATTGAGGACACCCTGTGAACGTGCAATATAAAATTCTCCTAAATTCCTTGTGCACACTGTTTTAATTTTCTTGGCATAAAGGGAACACGCTTGTAGGAAAATTAAATGAAAGAAATAAGCCAAAATCTGTATCATTTATTTAAATGCAGTAGCCGTGATATGCCTATGGATCTAACACCACTACTTTCAATCAGCAGTGGTAGGTTTCCTTGCTTTGTAGAGGTCTAAATGTTGCAAATTTTCATAAATATGATGCAATTTAACTTGTAATATTCCCACACAGTAACGTACAAAAATAAACCCCATAAAAGCCTGAAAATGAACTCTTCTTACACAATTTTGAAGACCCAAAGACAGGCCATCATATTTATCAACAAAACAAATGCATAAGTGCCCCTATTCTGAAAAATTAAAAAGGTGACACCAATCAAAGCTAGTAATGGTACTTCTAAAAAATGTTTAAGCCCAGTACTTTATTGTTATGCCTAGTTTACATTGTATACTCCCATTCAATATTTATTTTCTTCTTCTGTTACATTAATATTAATTATAAATTAATTTATTTTATATCCTTAACTCAGCAATTTGTCCATATCTGTGTATTTAGGAGAGATGAGGCACTGTAAATACTTGAGCTTAAAAAGGGAAGAAGTTGTGGAAATTTTCCCCTATATTCAGAGCCAAAAAAAGCAGACTTTCAGAGATGTCCTATTTTATAATCCAAACTGGTATTAAATCTAAACCACGGATTCATTTTAATTTTTTTTCTAACACTGTGAATATGTTCTCAATCAAGAAACCAAAGGTAACATTATCCAGTACCTCTACTTGTAGAGTATTTGGTTTGACTGTTGCCATGCGCACTTCCTGAGTCTCGTGTCTCACAATGAGTGTTCGAGGACAGGAGACTACATCCCGTGTATCACAATGGTAGTTATCGATGTAGACACCAAAGTTGTCAACTTTCTTATTAATCTCCTCCACAAGGACGTATGTACAATTCCCTTGATAACTGTAGTACAGTCCATCAAAAGTCATGTAATGTGGGTCTCCCCAGCCAGTGCAGTAGCCTACAGAAATGTACAGCTAGGTTAGCTTCTTATGGCAACTTACAGGATCAGATCAGACTACAAACAAAATCTGTGTGGGATTCATCTCATCTAACTTAAATGTTTAGATTTTTAGAGAGTATATGTCAAAGCATGAGCTCATTATCTAGAACTCATCATTAACAGAGAAAAGCAGGTAATTTCAGGGCACAGGTCATCTGATATTTCTGATAGACAATGGAGAAAAAGGCTAAATTCACTCCAGTTATGTAGCAATTATGGTAATTTAAGCTCCTGATTAGCTAAAAAGAAACAATTAAGCACACCAAACAGAGCAACACTGGAAGTCTGAGTGTCACAGCCTTGTGCGATACTCGTCCCTTAATAAATATTGTTGCTCTTGACAGTAATATTGTTCCCACAGGAGATAAAACATTCAACAAAATATATACTTACAATCACACTCCCAGTGCCAACAGCATCCATCCTTATCAATGACTTGCACAGGAGAAAGCCCATTGGCACATGTAGGTTTAGGAGGTGGATTACAGACTATGGGAACCACCTGGATTATATTGTCCTCTATACATATAGCCTGAAAGCACTCACAGAGCCACCACGACTCACCTGGCTGTGTTTGGAAAGAGAAGGGATGGGGAAGAGAGACAGAAACCTTATGAAGCAGTGGGACTGACAACGGTTATGCCTGTATATCTTTTGCAGAGTTTTCAAATGCCATATGTTTATTGTCAATTTTTTGCCCACCAGAAGTATGAAAATGGGAAGGAAGTGCAGCAGTCAGCACCGCCAAGGCCTGCAAAATAAACTAGCACTACGGAGAGCTGCTGACTGAAAAGCATTACTTACAAAAGTCAAGCCGGTAACCTGAAGTGGGAACTGCCATTTTTAGTTTCAGCTATTTAAAAGTTAAACGTCTGATCTAATCTTATCCCTCTCTCATCAACAGTGAAAGACACCAATCAATATCAGTGATCAATACATGGTCAATCCCCTTCCATGATTGCCTAGAACAGATTAACAGCCAAAGAGACACAGATAAATAAAGCTATTTGGGGAGTAATGTCTAAGGTGATTATGTGCATGCATTCTGACTGTACACAGTTTTTCTATATTCCACCAGTTTTTCAGCCATGTATAATTTTTATCCCTGCGGATCTACTAAGCAAGTTGATAGACATTTAAGCTGTGAGGAGGCTTTAGAAATATAGAAAACATTAGGTTGTCTGTCTCAGATGTGGAGGGTTCCAAAAATCTCAGAAATCAAATTTCACGAGCATTTGAATATAGTGATCTGTTTCACAGTCCTCTCCTGAAACCAGACTATGATGAAGTATGACCTCATTCCAGACTCAACTAGTATAGCCCAGTGGTTTATTGTTGGGCGGTACTGTAAACACACAAACAACTTTACCCCACTCTGAACCTATTCAAAAGCAGAAATAGAAATGATACCTTAGAACCACTTAACCCATGGTTACCTCTTCATCAAAGCTTTACTACAATAGAGAGAAATATTGAGCAGTGATACAACCTCTTGAAGAAAGCCTTTTAAAAATTATCCCCGAAAAACTGATAGTAGTATATAAGCTATCAAACTGAAGATCATTGGAAGCCATGCCAATAACCAAGAAAACAGAAGGGAATAGAAAGGACTGATACTTCATTTTCTATCCAGATTAACATGGACTTTGTATGTTATAAACATTGAATTATTTGTCTAGTTTCCATGCAAAGAAGAAGGTTAAAAAAAACTGCATGAAATCTACTCACTGCATAAGATTCATTAGGTAAAATAGAACAATTTTTTCCAGGAGTGCTTGATGGTGGACTTGTAATTAAACCAGGTGGAGTAACTGTGCTGTACGTAGAACTCCCTACAACAGTGACTGCACTAGAAGTTGCAGTTGGGCCAGAAGTAGTAGTTGAGACAGGTGAAGTAATTTCCGAGGTGGTAGTGGTTGCAGTGACTGTCGTAACACTAACAGAGGTTGTTCCTGAAGTAGTGGTAAAAGATTGTGTTGGAGTTGTACCAGAGGTTGTGACTGGCACTGAGGTTGTTGGTCCTGGTGGTGGTGTTAGGGTAGTGCTGGCTGTAGACACTGGGGAAGACGGTGCAGAGGTGGTGGTGCTGATGGTGGCAGTAGACGTTCCTGTTGGAGGGCTCCCTGTCCCGGTGGTAGTGGTCTCCTGGGTAGATGTTGGCGTCACTGTTGTGGTGCTGTGGGGTGTGGGTGATGAGGGTGTGGGTGTCGAAGGGGTGGTTTTGGTGGTTGATCCTGTTTCAGTGACTCCAGTAGTGGTGACTGGCACTGGGGTTGTTGGTCCTGGTGGTGTTGACTGTTGACTAGTGGTGCTTTTCGTGGACACTGTACTTTCAGTTTCTGTCGTTCTAGTTGTTGTCGATGGGGTAGATGAAGGGGTAACTGTAGTAGTTGTCTTTGTTGGTGTTCCTGGTTGAGTTGTTGTTTCCTCTTTAAGACAGAGAAGACACAATAATTTGTTTTAGTAGGCATATTGCTTTTGCTATTAATTTCATTTCATTTTCTAATATGAAAATAAAATTCAACTAACCTAAGCATATTGTGTTTAGATAGGAATAAAGCAGAAAGTATTTTACTAAAGGCTTTTGCATAACAGGCAGATTATTTTTAAAAATCTCCTGTTTTGCATGGGAGATATTGATGTAAACACTTTATGACCCATTAATGCCAGATGGAACAGCTCTGTGTACTGTTAAAACTTTGTACTGCATAGAAGAGTTCAGCAGTCCTAAATCTAGGGAATTGAGTTGATCAGCGAACTCTTTCGTTAATACTGTATTTCTGTTGTGCTGTATTCTATAGATAAACCGTTGTTCCCTGTGGTAGTTCAGGTGGCATGTTCATACCAGCATTTATTGTGCTCAGAGTCATTTGATTCTAATGAAACTGAGCAGTTGCTGAAGCAATTTGTGTTCCATATCTAATGCTCAGGCCCTTAAGACTACTCACCCAGACGGTATTTTGGAATGCTAGGAACCCCGTATTCACTTTTCTGCTTTTTCCTTCCAAGACGGTTTTGAACTCTTGTGAGACCCCACCTGGAGTACTACCTCCAGCTTTGTGGTCCCCAGTACAAGGAAAGACACGAACTCTTTAGGAAGGTCCAGAGGAAGGCCACAGAAATGGTCAGATGTCTAAAACATCTCCCCTATGAAGAGAGGCTAAGAAAGTTGGGTTTGGTTGTTCAGCCAGGAGAAGAGAAGGCTCCAGGGAGACCTTATTGTGGCCTTTCAGTATAGAGGTAGGGTTTATAAGAAAGACAGAGAGAGACTTTTTACCAAGGTCTGTAGTTACAGAACAAGAGGCAATGGTTTTAAACTGAAAAAGAGTAGCTATAGATTGAACTTAAGGAAGAAATTTTTTTATGATGGGAGAGGTAAGACACTAGAACAGCTTTCCCATAGAAGTTGTAGATGCCCAGACATTAGAAAAATACAAGGACAGGAAGAATGAGGCTTTAAAAAACCTGTTGTAGTGAAAGATACCTGCTCATAGTAGGGGAGTTGGACTAAAACATCTTTAAATGCATCCCTTCCAACCCAAAATATTCTATGATTCTATGAGTGCTTTGGAAAGATACATCAACTACACTCTCTCAGAATAGAAAAATTAAGTCACACATTAAGCTGACAGTAAACCTTAATTTCTTGCATAGCAAGGCAACAAATATCAAAGAAGCAGAAAATTACTTATTGCTTCTGAAGTTGGAGGCAGCTGGGTTTTGGTGTTTATTTCTGGTGTTGAGAAAGTGCTTTCAGTATTTGGGGTTGCTGCTGTTGTGCCAGTAACAGTCGTCGTTTTCCCTGTGGTGCTGCTGGTGGTGCTGGTGGGGGGCATCGTGGTGCTGCTGCTGCTGCTGGTGGTGCTGCTGGTGGTGCTGCTGGGGGGCATCATGGTGCTGGTGGTGCTGCTGGGGGGCATCATGGTGCTGGTGGTGCTGCTGGGAGTCTCCGGTGGTGTTGGTGTGGGAGTGGTTGTTGATACAGGTGTAGAAGACACTGTGCTTGTTGTGGACGAAGGTGGTGCTGTCGTGGTACTCGTGGTGGTACTTGTAATACACTCTGGTATGTCAGGAACGCAGCAGAGACTGATCTCATAATTAAGGCAGACAGGCATTGGTACTATACCTCCCATGACCTGATCACTGTTGTTACAGATGAGCCCTGTGTTAACATCGCACTCCACTTTCTGCCCTAAATCTTCAATGTTAACCTCAGGGAATCGCTCCGCTCTGCATGAAATATTCTCAGCTTTTGCGCACACCCAGGAGGAGTTGTGCTTCAGAATATTCTCAAAGGTTTCATAGTCACCACTGTTTCTGTCAGAACTATTTGGGTAGCTCACGTCAATCCAGTCCGTCCAGATGCATTCACAGTCTGAGAGACAGCAACAAGAGGAACAATTAGAAACCGACAGAGGAGAGACAACAAGCCGGGGTACTAGCACGCTCGCGGGTGGTGCTCTGGGCGTCCACTGCACATAAGGGTGCCTCTCGTGCACTGCTACACCCGTCAGCCAACCATGGCCACAGCAAAGATCACTTGTGTGTGCAGCCCTCCCCTTCTTGACCCTACAAAGCATACTAGGGCCAAGTCAGGATGCAGGCACTGCCAAACCATGTGTGTCTCCCCCTTGCACCTAGGGCACATTGCTGTATTGGCTTCCCATGTGCAAAACCACTCAGATAAGGGCAATACACGAGGTGGAGAAGGGCTAAGCAGGGACTCCCACCACACTCTCACTTTCTCGTGCCACTCACACCCTCTCACTATCTCAGGGAGAAACCAAACACCGGGGAAGGCCGTGACCACAAAACAAGCAGGCACAGGACACACAATGCTGCCAAAACATCAGCTTGCTTCCCAGCAGTGCTCAGACAGCTGGAGAACAACACTTGTGGGAACACTGCGAGAACCTGGCTGCCCAGAGCCTTGGTCCATAGCAAGGGGCAACACATACTCTGAAACCTTTTCCCAAGTCCTGCCAGGGAAAAGCTTTAAAGTTTCCTACAGCCAGAACTGCAGGTGAGTGGCAGCAATGGCCACTGAGGCGATGCAAGAGAAGAACGGGAAGACAGTCCAGAGAGCTGTGCCCAAACAGTGTCTGAAATGACAGTGCCAAAAACCAAGCCCCACTCCCATTGCACACCATGGGTCCCACTGAGTGCATTCTCTCCAGATGAAGGACGAGGTCCCACAGCAGCAAAAGCAAGATTTTCCCATCACTTCAGTATCTGTCTAAGCTGGGCAGAGGATGGAAAAGAGAAAAGGATGGAAAACCTCCTAATGCTCCCAATAATCAAAGGCATAGAATCAAGAACAAGAAAGATGTTGTGCACTTTCTCCCCCAGAGAGCTCAGTACAGGACCCACTCCACTCCAACTCTCGTGAGACCCCACCTGCAATGCCGCCTCCAGCTCTGGGGTCCCCAGTACAAGGAAAAACATGAAACTCTTTGAGAGGGTCCAGAGGAGGGCCACAAAAATGGTCAGATGGCTAAAACATAGCAGGGGAGTTGGAGTAAAAGATCTTTAAATGCATCCCTTCCAACCCAAACTATGCTATGAATTTTTTTGAAACATGCATTAACTACACTCCCTCAAAGTGAAAAATTTAAGACACACATTAAGCGGCCAATAAACCTCGTTTTCTCCCATAGCAGAGCAACAGATGACAAAGAACCAGAGAATTGATTATTGCTTCTGGAGTTGGAGGCAGCGGGGTTTTGGTGATTATTACTGGTGCTGGGAACATACTTGGAGTAGTTGGGGGTCGTGTTGTTGTGACAGTAACAGTCGTCGTTTTCCCTGTGGTGCTGCTGGTGGTGCTGGTGGGGGGCATCGTGGTGCTGCTGGTGCTGCTGGTGGTGCTGCTGGTGGTGCTGGTGGGGGGCATCGTGGTGCTGCTGCTGGTGCTGGTGGGGGGCATCGTGGTGCTGCTGGGAATCTCCGGTGGTGTTAGCGGGGTAGTGGTTGTCGATACAGGTGTAGAGGACACTGTGCTCGTTGTGGATGAAGATGGGGCTGTTAGAAACAACAGGGACAGGGAAAACAGAGGTGCAAGATGCATAAGTTAGATGTAATATACACTGAATACAAGTTACACCTTAGGTAGCTACCAGAAAACTAAAGCTGTCTGTCCAGTCTTACCACAGTGAATCACTAGGTCTACCTTTTTGCCCCCGGAAAGCAGACTAGTTCAAAATCAGTGCACCGACAGTGCCAGACAATCCTTTGATAGCAAGGAGACTAGTGATGTAATATGCTTCTCACTAAACCAAAAATACCTACAAATTTTAAGACATAAGGAGGAGTAAGGCTCTGAGGCTTTCTATTTCTACCCTATTACTTAGAATACCTTGCTGTCTTATGAAGTAAGAACTGAGAGGGGATGCTGTGGTCTGGGAAGGAAGCATGTATGGAAATATGTTCCCGCCTGATGGTCATGTAATTTCCCCGTGCTGCAATGCTGGCCTGATAAAGAGGTTTACAGAGTATTAGTGGACCTCGGCAGCTGAAGACCACACTTCGCAGCAAGCAGCAGCCTGCAGAGTGAAACTCTTCCTGAAAGCCTGCCAGGGGAATCCTTCCTTCCTAGATCTATAACCACATGCAAACTTTAGCACTGACAGAGGGAAAGCAGGAGAAAGAGAATGAATTCTGTATAGCCCTGCCCAGAAAACGCCTAAAATGATGGTACTCTTAATCAAGGCCTACGCTAATCTTGTACAACGGGTCCTTCTAGAAAGCTGCTCTCCAGCAGAAGGAGAGAGCTCCACACCAGCATCAATAAGACTTCCTGGCAGCTCAATATCTGTCATGGAGATGACATGCCTTTAGGAACCAACAGGCCTTTATTTCTCCTATGGCAAAGCAAGAGCAGAGATAATTGGTCTGCTAAATACCTGGAGAGGTTGAAGTTACTGGGGTGGTGACTGATGGTGTGAATTCGCTTGTGATGGTTGGGGTGGGTATGGGCGTGGTGGTACTTGCTGTTGGCCGCCTGGTGGTAGTGGTGGTGAGTACTGTTGTGCTGGTGGTTGTTGAAGATGGTGTTAGAGTTGGTGGAGTCTCACAAGGAATTTCATGCCACTCACAACAGTTTACCCTAATTTCATAATTATAGCAAAGTTGCCACATAGTTGGATCTTGCTCCTCATTCTTACAGATTAGTCCATATGTAACATTACATTCTACTTTCTGGCCAAGTTCCTCTAAGCTCACATCGGGCTTTTCTTTAGCCCTGCATTCAATTTTTTCAGGAGCTTCACATATTTTGTCTCCATGTTCATTTCTTATTGCATCATAGGTTTCATAGTCACCACCATCTTCTTCAGGTTTACTAACATCAAACCACTCAGTCCAGTTACAGATTAATCCAAAGCATGGAGCTGAAAGAAAAGACAGAGATTCAGCATCTGAGCTTAAAGACCACATTCTGAGAAGATTAGTTTTGTATTCTTTTCCATTAAGGACTAGGGTAATGCACTGTAACTTGTTCTTTTTACCAAGAGAAAAAAGTTCTAGAATTGGTTCTATATTACCAGGTTTTTCAAGAGGAAGCTTTGCATCAAAATACAATCACCAATCTGAAGCCTTTAAAGGTCTTTCTTCTCTCTATACTTAACATAATTTTGCAATTTAAAAAATGTATTTATTTGTGTTTAAAATATATTTTTCTGTAGTGGATGTCTTTAATTTACTCTTCCTTTAAATGTTCCTTTGACATTCTTTAACAACTTAGTTTTATATTTAAAACTTACTTATAGTTACTGGAGGTCTTGTAGACATAACTGAAATAGGAAAAAAAAAAAAAAAGATTAATCCAGCATCTTCAAGCTTTAGAAAAATACATAATAATAGTTTTAAATATATTATCTTTTTTTGGTGACACTACTGAGACAATTTCTACTACCCCAGATGGATATTGAGATGTTAACTTGTTTTACAGAATTAAAAAGTCACTCTGTACATTTATAGTTACAATTTTTTCCATGAGAAGTAAATAAATTCAAAATGTTAAAAATCTTTCTTAGTGTATTGTGATAAAACTATTCATAAGTATCGCTCTATCTGTGTCAGCCATAAGCCCCTATACTTCTACATCCTATTTTAAAGTATTTTCCTTGAAGAAAATGATTTTTAGATGTGCATCTCTGTTAAAGGTTTACCTGTGGTGGTAAGAGTACTGGTAGGAAAAGAGGTTGAAAGGGTTGTAGGTGAAGTAGATGTCGGACAAGGAAAAGTACTTCCAACAATTACAGAACCATTTTCTGCACAAATGTATATTATACATATGTTGCCATCTTGTATTTGTGCCACAACTTCACCCACTTCATAACTTGTTCCATTGATGACACAAGGACAGCCTGCAAAAAAAGAGAGCAATTTTTCTATTACCAGGTAAGAGACAAAGGCAGAATACTTATGGACAAGGAAGCATTTGCAGGAATCATAGCTTTCAGAGCTATACCTGGAGTTAGACCTAATACATCACACTAATTTATCTTTACATTTAGAGGAACATTAAAACATATTTAATAATGCCCTGCATAAAACACTTGGAAGAACAGACTTACAAACTAGGTTTTAAAATGTTCTGAGAAAAATAACAACTGCAATTTACTGTCTGACACTTTTCTATAATACTACGTGTTCTGGGATTCAAAGTCTTGTAGCGAATTCCATTAGTTTATGTATGGGACATGGGGAGAAAGAATAAAAGGAAATGAGAAAAATGTTGAAAAAGAAGTTCTAACAGTAAGGTTCAACAGAAGTGCTGCTCAATTTTCTTTGGCCACAACTTTCATTTGCACTGGAAAGGATTATTCCAAATCAGTACTAAGTGTTTTGTAGAGACAAACATAGCAGTTCCATGCATTCTTTCTTTTTATTTGTAGAAAAAACCAAATGTTATTTACCTGGGAGTGGTGTACACTGTATGGATCCTGAGGGACCACAGACACTAAAAGCAAAATTTTCAAAAATTAAAATGTTACAGATATTTTATGGCACCTGTTAGCAGAGCCAAGAGCACAGAATTGTATAAATTTGTCACTTGTCTTTAGTCATACTACTGGATATTTTTCTGGGTGTAATATTTCCCAATACTGCCTATCATTATTTCATTCAGACTAAGTCATCACTTTCATTCTTTAAGTATAACACCTTAAAACTATCATGAATTGCTTTGTGTTGCAAGTTGCAGTAGTGCAATAATAAAAACTGTTTTTCAGAGCAGTGAATTTATAGCTAGATCGGGGTGGGGAGGTGGAGTGTTTGTCTCCGGTCACTGTGCAGAGTCATAGACGTCAGTGCTATCACTAGAAATGCTTTAGGAATGAGCAGTTAGGAGTCAACTATCTTTTGGGGCTAGTACAGATCATTTCCGATTACAATGGGTTTGGAATCCCAGTTTTAAGTGAGAATGCAAGGCAGAGTAGCCCCTCTCTTCCCAAAGAGCCATGAGAATCAAAAGGCTGTTCTAGAGACACACCCAGGTTCCATGCCATTATATAATTTATGACACTTCTAAGACTATATATATAAAATGAAATTGTTAATACACTTATTATGACAACACTATCAGCTGGAAATCTTGATTATTATGGATTTGGAAAATTATGAATGAAAAGTTTAGAATCTGTACATATCATAAGTGCAGCATTTTTTAAGTCTCAACTGGAATAAACAGCATTTTTCCTCTTATTTGCATAGATAAATGTTAGAATGAATATACCAGCTCTTCAGCTGAAGTTGTACATCTATATGCTTGAGGCCCAATAAAGTAAATGAAGGGCTCAGCATACATAAATTCTTTTCTTAATTACTGCAAATGTTTTTGCATTTTTTTATATACCATTGTGTACAGTTGTCTTCTGTGGGTATCTGCTCCCCAGGGGCCACATGAATTCCATCGATGTAACACCAACACAGATCTTCAGGCACACATTCCTTTGTCGCTTCATTATAAAAAGGCTTGTCTGGAGGGCATCTGGGGTAGCAACCTGTTGATGACAAGAATAGTATATAGAATGAAGAAAAAGTGTAAGGAGTTAACTGATAGGATAGCTTCTGAAGGTAAATGATTCTCACTGAATCAAGCACAGTGAAAGAAATTGAGAATTTCCAGTGCAAATTAATCATTGGACAATTAGTCTTTCCAAAAGACATAAAATCACAGAATTCTCATTGATAATGCTGGGGTGTGGAGGATTGACTAAAAGTTTAGTCATGAAAACTAGGGTAGTTGTTTTTTCCTAGTTTAAGATCTTGGAGAAAACCCTAATTTGTATTAATTTCTATGGGCAGCTAGTAATTTAAGAGAAAGAAACTTCCTTATTTTTCTATAGATATTGAAATGTGATCACTATATCAATAATACTTTGTGAAGAATGTGAAAGTGGATTCATTAACAAACAGGTTTTTCACGACATTTATTGGAACACTAGACCTTGTTAATGTGCCTTTAATAAATGAGGTATCTCCACCCAAACAGATAATTTTATCTGCATTTTCCATATCTTTGCTCAGTGACCCAAACCCCACCTGCAAGGGATTGTCTGTCAATTCTCATTTCATTTTTCATGTAAACACACTTTTAAAATTTATTGTGTCTTGCTTCCAAATAAACTCTCATGAAATCCGGTTCTTAATTACTCTAACTGTACCGTACTGGAACTCTAAACAGCCTGTGAACTGAATGACAATCTAAGTAACTGGTACTTAAAAGTTACTTCACACTGCCAGACTGTACTAAAGATGTCCTAACAAAAGTAAGCATGATCTATATTTCCACTGAAGATAAAAATAAAAAATAATTTAGAAAGAGAATTAGTTATATAATAATCTGCCTTCTGATACTTCCCAAAGTTTTCTAATAATCTAAGACAATCTATTTGAAAACATAGAATTGGTTTTAAAAAATATTTTGGCTAGGTTTTGGGTTTTTTTTTTTTGTTTGTTTTGTTACCAGAAGATCAAGGATTAAAATAACAAAGTCAAACTCTGGGCATTTCCTTACAGTCCCTAAACTGGAAATAACTGCTTCCAGTCAAGACCAAAAAGACTGCATGGCTGAAACCATGGCTGTTTTCTCCAACTTTATCATGTGGCAAATGAAATATGTTTATAAAGTCATTCCATCCAATGAATGAATCATTGCAGTCATGCAATGCAGTTATGACATGAGATTCCTTTTCAGTTATCAAGCACAAGAACTTGAACCTATTAATATCATATCTACAAATGAAATACACTAAAAATGCAGGTAGCTCCCTGTAGCCCTCTGACAACATGTTGTGGTCTCCATTAAGAATTCAACATATAGCAGCATCAGTGTGTTTGATATCAAAGATATTTTCCACTGTAAAGATAGGAGGATGTTGTACATTAATAAAGTCCAGATGGATCTGATACATAAAGAATGATAAAGAACCCTCAACTATCAGTAACTTGCTTCTTTGCCATGTGAAAGGTTTTCCTTCTCCCGAAAAGCTCTTGGGATGGGATGCAAAATAAGAATGGTGTAATAATCTTGCATGTTTCAGGATATTATCCAAGCAGAGACCTAGTTTTATGGCTCACAATAACGCAACTATCAGTCACTGATATTAATAAATAATAAATTATATTATAAGAAACAGTTATCTAATACTGGAGACAAATTCAACATAACAGATGTAGGAACAACTTGTCAAGCTGACTGACTATTCCATATTCATTAAGTGATATGTGGAAAAAGTTATACAAAATAAAATTTTAAAATGACAAGGAATTTATTACCTTCCAGGTATGGCATTGTAAAGTTGGTGCTGACATTATTAATCATCCTGCAGGTTGTGACATTACTGCCACAAGGTTCATAGTGCCAGTCGCACTCATTACGAGGGTTGTAGTAGTCACAAAATATCGCTGAAGAGAAAAAAAAGGACAAGCTGATTCAAAACATGGTTGACAGAATGCGGCTCTGATGAGCTCTTTAAAGGTAGAAGCTAAATGAGTCTACGTGTTAAGACAGCAAAATTTCTCGTGACATATGAGTCCTGGACTTTCTTCTACTGTACTTAAACATGTTTCATCAGAATTTAGGATCAAAACTCTGGGGCCCAAGATTTTCATATTAAACACTCAAGCTTCAGGATGAAAATGTTTGATCCAAATCACACAAATAAAAAAAAAAAAAAAAAAAAAAAAAAAAAAAAAAAGAAGTTTATTTTAATTTAAAATTAAGGTTAAATTTCTGAGAGCATTTTTGTTCCTTAATTACTAGCAAACACCTAAAAGCTCTTGCAGTATATTCAAAATAGTTCTGCCTTGCTGTATCACACGGGCTGTATCACATGGACAGGCCAAGAGCAAGCAGAATCCATTTAGATGACTACGGACAGAGGAAGGAGCTTTTATAAACTTGTATCAGAACTGATTGAAACTTATAACTTCTGTTTCACTGCCTTCTTACACTTAAAATCTAAAAGCAGTCAATTCCAAATCAGAATTATTTTTTTTTTAAAGAAAAATTTTACATTTCTGCCACTTAGAATCTAAAAATTTTGATTTGAGCACTTCTTTGGGAAACGTTAATTTAAATCTCATTTTGCATTATTATATGACATACTGGTATGAGCATTAGCACTGCTAATGGACACTGCTTAATATACTCAGTACTGATTGAGTTCATCTACACAGGAGTACTTCTATATAATTTTGCTAAAATTGAATTCTGAAAGAAACAGAAACAGAGGAAGAAACAGAAACAGAAAAAGAAGAAAAAGGAAAAGGGAAAAGGAAAAGGAAAAAAGTAAGAGGAAAGGGAGAAAAGGAAAGGGGAAAAGGGGAAAAGGAAAGGAAAAGGAGGAAAAAAGAAAAAAAGAAAAAGTAAAGAGAAGAAAAATTTAAAAAGGTGGAAAGAAAGAAAAAAATTAAAAGCCAGGCTGAATGAAAGATAATTGAAATATACAAACTTACTAGTTCTCATTATTCCTTGATAGACTCCAAAAATAAATTGCATTTCATTGCCAGCATAACCTTGCAGTCATAGTATTATTTTATTTGGCAGACTTTCTGATAGCAGCCAGAAAGATACAGTTGTGTTTAACTGTTACTCACGGCATATATCAGGAGTTCTCCAGAAAACACAGGCCTGAGCCTTGGTACATTCCTGAGCGTATGCAGCAACCGCGGAACAGAAGCACTCACAGTCTCCACCACTGTCACAAGAGCAGGCATCATGAACACAGGCGTCATAGAAAGGATTTGGGTCCACCTGTTGGGGAAAGAAATGATGCCCCAGTTCATCTCTGAAGTAGCTTTCAAACTAGTAAGCCTGAGAGAGCTCTTGGGATAGGGGAATTGAGCTGGGCAGGAATGAGGCTGTTCCTAAGGATTACCATATCACAGACAAACATTATACGCTTGAAGCTGCTTCATGTATTTTGGGTAATAATAGACTTAAAGTAATATAGTACCTTTGTAATTTGCTATGACCGAAAAAATAAAATAAGAGTTCTTGGAAGTGCCCACAATTTCTAACAGAGCTCCATTTTACTGCTCTCACGCCGATGAAGTCTTATCTTCCAACAAGCTTTGTCAACCAAGTGGTGAGCAAGAACAACCAAGTGTGAAAGGCTGCACTTCACAGCAAATATGAAGCAGATAATTGTGTGCTTGCCAGTTTTTGGAGTCTATCCAATCACACATTAGCAAAAAAAAAAAAAATATTAAAAAAAAATATTAAAAGTCCACTTTTTTTGCCTGGGATTGCAAGAGGAGAAACTGAGACTGGATTTTAGCTGCTGAAGGAATCAACATAGAAACACATGCTAAGTCGATTAAATTAATCATTCTGTATGACTTTTCCACTGTGTGTTAAGAATAGTTATATACAACAGAAACATAATATAATAATCATTATATTACCATACTTTATAAAGAGACAAGGAAGAGAGGAGTGCTCTCTGCACTGTGCTCTGAAAGCTGCGGGCCTGGCATAGTGTATGCTATCACAGTTGGAGGCGCAGTACTAGCAGCCAAGCCCGTCTAAACTGCGCAATGTCAGTGGTTGCCACGAAGATCCCTTCTGCGGGTTGAGTATTACAAAGAGCAGTGGTCTCTTCAACAGCCACCCTCCAACTATCGTATGCATTTCCATCAGAAGTGCGATCTCATCATCACAAGACCTTTTAGAACTTAAAGTAGTGAGTCTCTCAACAAGAAGTGGCACAACGCAGACCTGTTCAGCACACACAGACCTATTCAGGGTAGATTTATGAAGCTAGCTTGCACAGCAGTAGCGCTGAAACGGAGTATGGGCTTGTATGGCCGTGGCTGGCACCGCTACTGACACGGTCCCATTGCCACAGACACTCAAACTCCTTTGACTAAGGCTAGCTGCAATGTGATGACACCTATAGCTGTACTAAAGACTTGAAGATCACTCTATTTAACCCTTTCTTCATCCATTTCTGAGGGTCCCTCTGCATCTGCAATCGCAGAAAGGCACTGTGCTGTGCCATCATTTGCTGCCCTCTACAAACCTTAGAGTGACAAATTTCAAAGACTTTACTCCGGATGATGTTGCATTCTTTCTTTGCCCAGGACTCCCTGTGTGGTTTCACATCACAGGGCTTAATCTCTTCTGTGACATCTGGGCACGTGGCAGACTGTTTCCAGGAATTCCCAAACTTCAGAGCATTAGTCTCCTGCACCCCACTCCTTGTTGTAAAGTCGTTGTTAGACTTGTCATCGAAGTTGCCACACAAACCACACACTTTGCCCTGGAAAAGAAAATTAACAGCTTTTAAATCCACAGCTTTTAAATATACCATGGAAGTGAGAAACAGGCTAGTAAATAAGAGCAAAACATTGACATTTAAAAGGACAACTGACTCTCCATTTAAATTACACATTTCCATTTTACTTCCAAATAATTTCTACAGAAATCAAACCTTTATTTGTCTGCGTACTCAGTGAACTATTCAGCTCCCACGACTTCCTTCCTTGAAACCAATTATATCTAGTGTATTTCCATGTTTCTGTGGTGGCCCTTCATACAGCTTATAACACTAAAGGGTGGCTAAGCATCCTTCAGCTGAGAAGAATTGATTTGTTTTCCATTCTTCTCAATTTAGCATAACTCAGCTATTAATATAAGCCTGAGGGAATTTCATTCTGATTAAAAATGGTTTTATTAAATGCTTCTAACATAATGAGTGCCTTTTCTTCACCCATGGGAAAAATAAAATACAGGGACTCATTTTTCTTGAAAGAAATAATTTAGCAGCTTACCCACAATAGTGAATTTTTGGTAGTGGTATTTAAGGTACATCAGCCCCACCAAGCAACAGCATGTCCCTGTTTATACAACCCCACAGCTCCTCATTCAGCCCAGTGAATTCAGTACTCTATAATTCAACATGCTGATTTTCAGAAATCAGAACCACCTCCATACATTGCACACGGAGTGTGGTTTCAACTCAGAGCTGAGATCCCATGCAGGTTTCCAAGTCAGTTCTCATCCCCTGAATTACTTTGGATGCTTGGCTCTTAATGCTCACAAACTCAGAATGCCTTAGACATTTAGCTTTGCTGCATCCTCTGCAATGCATTGTGACAGACTGTAAGGAGCTCTGGCAGCACCTCTGCAAGCTGTGATAGTAATGCTGCAAGCTAATGATTAATGTGCAGAGGATATAGGAATTAAACAGAGTCAGAATAAAAGAACATTTATGTTTCCTTATCTCATTTGTCTATTCATACTACTACTTAAAAAAAAAAAAAAAAAAAAAAAAAAAAAAAAAAGAAGACAGACAGGTCCTAACTTTGTAATCAGGGGTCAGCTTGATGAAAACAGTAGTCTTCTTATCCCAGATAAGCATCACACCATTGCTAGCCTCAATAACGAGGTAGAGGCCGACTGTCCTGTTCCAATAACGCACATCATCACCAGTATCTCGCTGATTTTCTTTATAATCTTTATCCTCCAATTTCAGTTCAGTTTTCTGAAAGAGAAAAAGAAAAATATTATAACACTAACTTTTATGATGAGATATTAGACGCTCATACAAATACAACTCATTCTGAATCCAAAGCCAATTTGACAGAAAGTGGTGTAACACCTTTGATAGAATGAGAATCTTTACATTTACAAATTAGTTTGATAGAGGCTCTAACCTTCACTTGTTATACCTACTTTTTTGGCTGTGGCTTTGGAGCATTACTGTTTTTGAAATGCTTGAATACTGATATATACTTACTGAGCATCATTACTCACCCCTAGAAACATTTTAATAGCCTTTGAGCAGGTGACTCCTGTAGTTCCACAAGGGACATTCTCTGTGATGATACTGAACGAGCCACTGGAATTCCTGTCACCACAAAAATCCTATTGAAAAAGATAAAAGTGAGCATAAGAAAACTAGGTAGAATATTTATTTAATTTTTTAATATGATTTAAATCATTTTAAATAATTAAATCTCCACAATGTATAAATTGTTATTGCTGCTTCATATGTGAAATCTTACATACACATGTTTTTACAGACACACCAAGATATACACATGCATCTCTACATACACATAGACAGTTAACACAGTCTCATGTGTGGCAAAACCAGGGAAACAAGGGGGACAATAAAACAAAATGAGGAATATATCTTTAAATATAAATATCTTTGTTCTGTAAACTTAGAATTTTCATTTATTTCAGAATTGATAATGAACTGTTAGCTCTCACTATAAAATACTCTTGTTACAGTTTATGACCATTGTGTCAAAAAAAACCCCAACACATTCACACAGCTTGCCTGCACTGAAAATACAAAATTTATCCTGACAGAATGTGAAAACATCTCAGGAACAGTGATGACAGGCAATAAGAAATGACAAAACCAAAGATGAAAGTAGATCCTCAGGGCAATCAGATGCCATTTCAGCCCTCTTGATGAGCGTTACCTGAGTAGCCACATAGTCACATCTTCCATCAAAGTCGTAGAATTTTCCATCAAAGGTGATATAATGGCCACTTCCATATATTGTACAAGTCCCATAGCACACATACTCAGTGCAGCTCCAAGACCCTTTTTGGCAGACACTAGAAGAGAGCAGAAGAAATTTATTTTCATGTCTCTCCAAGAGCGTACTGTTTGGAAAACTGCAGAACAAACCAACAGCTACATGACGGTGCCCATTTTGGTGTTACAGAGTGTATTAAGTCTTAACTTCAATAGTTTAGCCTGCTTTGAAACCTATAACATGACTTTTACATCTGGCTGGATACGCTTTTTAGATCTGATAGTGTTTATATTTTAAAAATGAGTGCGCTTTCCCAATATGAGATGCCTACTTAAAACAGAAGTAGTTATTATCCCAATATTTTCAGTACAATCTGTATTTCCTCAGATATCAAAAAGTATGTCTGAAAATGTTTATAATTGCAGCTATCACGGCCACTGTAGTACATAAGCTTAGACACGATTATTAATTTACTGCATAGAATACTCTAGAAGGGAGTACAAATTATAACTTGCCAGGTGTTGCAGTCCACTGTTATCTGCTGTCCAGAAGAATACCACTGGTTGTTATGGATGCATGGGCAGTCTTTCTGCTCAACACAGCCACCTTTGCCATCATCAAATAGACCTTCAGGACACACACAGCCTGAGACACACTCTGACTGGAACTAGGGAATACAGGGAGAAATCATTACTTTACGAAAAACACTGCATTTTAATTCCACTTCTTCATAGACATTCTGGTAAAAACTGCATTTATAACCAAACAGAATAATATTGATTAGTTTTATAAGATTCTTCTTTCTAAGCTTCTAATGTTTTTATTTTCTTTATTGATTGTCTAAGAACCCAAATCACATTTCACTTGGGAGGTACAACTCTACTGAAGACACAGTAAAAAGAAAAAGGAGAAGGAGACCATAAGGGGAATCATCATGAAATTGCCAACAGAGTAATATCACTGGGGAGAAAATACAGGAAACTTTACCAGAGAGAAATAAACTGTTAGTTACAACAGCATTTTTTGTGTTGCACTGTGTCATTTAAAGCACAAAAAATGAATAAAGGAAACATGACATGGGGAAAAATTGAATACTTACATGATCAGCTCGAGGAGTATGACAGCTAAATTGTAGAGGTGTTTGCGAAGTCCACTTTGGGGATGTGCTGCAGTCAAAGTACCTCTTGTTAGAAGAACACGCTGTTGTATCTGAAAGGCACATTGTTGGTTTAGATGTATCAAGAAAAGACAAAAGAAATGTGCATGAAAAGTTGCAGTTACTGAGACAGAAATTTCAGGGCATGTATATCCTTATGGAAAAAAGAGGGTCAGCGAAGACAAAAGAAAGTGAAAATGCGTAACTGTTTCACATAAAGAGAAAAAACAAACATGCAAAACAAGCAAGTGGAGAATTCAAATGGAAAGTGTAGGTTTGGCTTTGGAGCACGGGTTATGGTTTTTGTTTTATTTTATAGAATTTCACTTACTTTTCTTTCCTGTTGTCACTGAAGTACAATGGACCTTTGCATCTCGGCACACACTAGAAAAGAAATGAAGTAGTAGAAATTTTTTTAAAAAGTAAGCTCAGTGTCTTCAATTTAAGTCTAAGGATTTGTTTATATAAATTTGAAAGTATTTATCAGAGAGATCCTGCATAATTTCTACTGATATTTCAGGGTACACTCATGAATTTTCACTTGGGGAAAAGTTTATGTTTCAAGGAATGACAGCTATGCTATTAATACTTAATACTATGCTTTTTGATGACTCAGGAAACATATAATAATGAAACAGTTAATAACGATAATTTAAATCAAAGCCTTCATTTAGATACATAGTGTATTTTCATGCCTGTTCAATTCACACACTGCAAATGTATTGGCCTGTATGCTTCATCTGCCAGATGAGAGAAGGAAGTATTTCACAGTTCGTACTGATGATTCATGCAGCAAACTGTTGTCAGAATTCATGATAAAAAATACCAGAACCGTGAAAGTTACTTTCAAACACCTATGCTACTGTAAGTACATATCAAGGGGACCTGTCTCCAGTGCAAAACACAAGCAATCTGTCTCTTACAGAAAAGGAAACAGCAATAAAACGTTATAGATGGTTTTTATCTTCCTTCTAGCCCTCTGCCCTATTAACCGTGCAGCTTCAGGGTAACATTTATCTGTGAAGGCCAGTACTCACACCTCCAAACAAAGCTGTACTTCCCAACTATTAATAAATCATCCTGCAACAGGATGAAGATGTTGTGAAACATATTACAAGTGCCCATTAAAGCACAAAAAAAAAAGCTAAGCCACTTATACCTAATAAGCAAATTTATAAAGGGCTTTTTTCCCACAAACAAGGAGCCACAATAAAACATACCAACGTTCTCCATCTTTTCTGATGTATTCCCCTGGTTCCAGGTATGATCCCTTGTAGTAACAGGGACACTTGGAGATGGGCACACAGGTACCCTGGTTATCCAGGTATGTATTATATGGGCAGCCACAGCCATCCACAGGAGCAAAGTCTTGCAAGCAATGTTTTTCACCATCAGCAAGGGAACGACAGGTTTGCTGACACATTGTAAGATTGTAAAGGAAGATTTGATTTCCTGGACAGGCAGACACTTCATTAGCTGGAAGGAAAATAAACAAACTGATAAAGAAGGGATGCAGGATGGACAATTTAACCTCGACATTTCCGGTTTTGTTTCTCCGCCTGTGCAGCATGTAATGGTAAAAATACTCCCTTAGATTTTATTAAAGTACAAAAATATCACAAGTCACGAGTAAAGATAGCCTAACTTTGTTTCCCAGCTGCAGACTTCTTTTTAACTGCTACTAACAGTTTCTACTTTCATAGCCATATTTGTTTCACATACTAATAATCAGAGAGAGAGAGAGTACAATATAATAAACTCCCAGTCTCAACAGTATTGTACTGCTCACAAAAAAGTAGCACAATGATAAACAAAGACACTGATAAGCAAAGACAATGTAAAAGCTATGATAGCTGGGATTCCATTAGTCAAAGATAGAAACAGCATTATTATTTAAACCGGGGAAAGAAGGTGGAAGTGCAAAATATTGCTTTCTAATTTTAAATATGTCATGAACAAATGACAACTAAAGAATATAACGTGAGCTAGTAACCATTATAAGCATTGTCTCTTTTAGATCCATTAAATATTTCTAAGAGACTCCAAATCCCTTAACACTGAGATCACTGAGTACCAAATTCAGAAGGAACTCACTTATTTCTTATGGCTAATTAATTCCATAGGGATTACAGTTCCACTACTTACTGCAGATACTCTTTCTCCAGCCTCCCAGTATGATCCCTTTGAAAGCACAGGCCCTTGAGTAAGAGGACAGGGCAGCACACAAGCATTCTTCATTGTCTTCACAGAGGCAGGTGTCGTATTTACATTTCTGAAAAAACAACAAAAGGGTCAGTAAGCCCACGGGAAACCAGTGGGCAATTGTAACTCAGTTGCTTTGAAATGTCCATTTTTCTGATGTTAATTGCTATAATCAGAGAACAATGCAAGGAACAGCCAAAGAGCAGAGCCTGAAAGTGCAATTCCAAATGAAAATGTTTGGATGCTTATCCTAACCTAACCAAGCCTCTTGAACCTTTAAAATATAGCCAAGCTCCTAACAGCAACTTTCTTAAAGGATTTTGGTACCGTACTTTCTTAGTTACAACTTAGAAATGCAGAGAACCATCAAAATTGAAAATTAAAATAAAAACATTTTTAAAAATAAAAATATTAAAAATCGTAATGGCAAAATATTAACCAGATCTATGAAGATCTTTACAGAATTTGAGCTCAGACTGAGTTCTAGGTATGAGCAAAGTCTTAGGAATTTCTTCTTTTTTTGATCAGGTAAGCCTCACTTACCACTCAACAGTGATTAGCACGGGGGAAAAAAAAAAACCCATAGGGATTCTATCATAAAAATGATTTGGTGTTGTTACATTCCAACCAATCCAGGAAATTTAATTTTTTTTCCCCTGACTTAATAGCAACTAATGTGTAAGGGTAACCTTAAAATTTCTGTGCACACCTTAATCTCTTGAATCATCTTTCCAGTTCAAATATCCAGTCCAATAAAAATGTATTCTAAATACAAAACATAAGAAACCAGAACAAATCTACCTTTTTATTCAGCAGCACTCCATAAGAATCTCATCATAAGAGATTCTTTGGATGCATGCCATGCTGCCTCAGTTAATCACTGCAAAAACTTCACCAGCTCTCACGGGCAAGCTACTCAGTAATGTCTCAAATGTTTGAAGAATAATAAATGTTTACAGTCATCCGTCTGAAATCAAGCAGTACTGGAAACGATGCAAGAGTACAATACCTTGTAGTATTCTGAAGGATCAATGACTAAGTGACATCTTGCAAATGGACCCTCTGGGTTTTTCAGCAAAGAACACCAATGCTCAGCATAATTTTCTGGGGAAAAAAAGGGAGAAAAATCAAACTATGTCATTATATTTATTCCATTCACTTATCTTTCTTGTGACACGTCTAGTTATGTTGTCAGAAAATTGCAATGCGACAATACAAAGGAGAGAACTGTGTGCACTTTGGGCAGTGAAGAAACTGCATGCAATCACTGTACATATATTTCTATTCTCTAATCCAGTTCTCTAGCAGTAGACATGCAACCATAAAATCAAAAACCATATCTTACTGCTGTAACTTATCTACACGGACCTGTGACAGCTCTTTCTGTTTGGGGACCATAAAGTTAAGTTAAACACAGGGATAAATAATACTAGGAAATACAAGCTGCCCTTCTAGATAATATAAATAAATGACTTCGCTTCTCTATCTCCCAGCTCAGGCTTCCTCTACAATCATCCTCTAAACTCTCACTTCAGTTTGATGGGAAATCAGTACTCATCTGTGTACATACTTGCAGAAATTAATTATTAATTTGACAGTCCTCTAAAAAAACTTCCATGCCACACTACAACTGTTATACACTTCTGGCAGAAACGTAAAGCAAATGTTACTCATTCTGGTAGAAGCCAACCATCTGACTTATTAGTGTGCTTACCACTTTCAATGCTGAGACTGCAGGGGTCTTCCAGCTTTTCTGCCTGGTCTTTGCAGGTGGACTGAGCTTTCCATGTGTTAGCAAAGGCAGATCCTGTAGCTTCTACCAGCCCACTAGTAGTTTTAAAGTCATCACCCTCCATTCCATTAAAGTTTCCACAAAGACCTATTGAAAAAGAGGGTAAAAGTTTTACCCACTTATTACTCATTTTCATTATAAAAGGTTAAAGGGAAAGGGACAACTGATCACAATCATTAGAAGCAGAAGTTCATACAGCTGATTATTCCACACTATTAATGCACACTATCAGTAGAGAAGATTTACCAGCCCTGTTTTAAATCTTCAACCTCCTGAGAATAGTCTTTATGAAGATATCGCTGCCTCAGGAGATCACTGACCTAATCTGTATTTCTAGTTTTATGATGATATAAAAACCACAAAATGCACTGAACGCCTGAGTTTGTGGATAGTTAAAAATTAAAGTGATTTAAAAAGTACAGAATATTGAATATATATATATTATATAATACTTATATTCATGTACTGGCACCAGAGTGACAGGTCACTTCCATATGAAATAATAACAAAGGATTTCTAGCTTGCTTTAGTCAATTCTCTTTCAATGTTTTGGTTTCTGCTTTTAGATTCCTCCTCTTGGATCAATAAGTAGCACAAATGATCACTCATGAAAAGAATACATGACCCTTCAGCTGGGAACAGCATGGATTTGCTTCCCATTTGAATAGACACTTGCCTTGAAGTTTTCCTTGAACTGATTGATCCACAGTCGCAAACAGCTGCATGACTGGAAACAATTGGATCTGCAGTTGAAGCCCAAAAGAAGTTTGTACGATAAGGTAGTGGGAAGATGGCTTGAATACTGAGAAGCTGGCTGAAAAACAAAACATGAATTGTGTAGAGAAAGCATACCTTCAGCTGCTGAAAGAAACACTTCTTACTAGATTCTAAGGTATCACCTGCCATGAAAACTCTGAGGTCAGGATCAAATTACTAATTTTCTTCTGAAGATTGCTGGCCATCTAGATACAATGCTGGTCCCCACTTACTTAACATGTTGATTATCTATAATGACCCATTCCTGGGATCAGAACCAAATTCGTATTTTCTTCAATACAGCTTCAGTGTTCTCATTAATTCTGAGCAATTTGAAGAGCAAGAGATTTTCTGAGAAAACATTATCTCAGCACTGTTGAATGCAATAAGTAATAGGCGTGACTCTACACACCAATACACAGCTAAATACTACTAATAAAAAGTTAGATGCTTATACATAATCAAGCCATTATAGAAAAATCATCAGAACTGACATACAAAATCAGCAGAGTGGAGGAACCGGGCTTCCTAATTAGCATCACAGAATCATAGAATGTCTCAAGTTGGGAAGGACCCATAAGGATCACTGACTTCAACTCCCTGCTTCTCACAGGACTACCTAAAACTAAACAATATGACTAAGAGCATCATCCAGATGCTTCTTGAACTCAGACAGGGTTGGTGCCCTGACAACTTTCCTGGGGAACCTGTTCCAGTGACCAACCACCCTCTCAGTGAAGAACTTTTTCCTAGCGTGCCATCTGAACTTCCCCTGACACAGCTTCATACCATTTCCTCATGTCCTATTATTGGTCACCAGAGAGAGGAGATCAGCACCTCCCTCTTGTAGGCTGGAAGTTGTAGGCTGGCAATGAGGTTGCCCTGCAGCCTTCTCTTCTCTAAACTGAACAAGGCAAGTGATCCCAACGGCTCCTCACAAGTCTTGCCCTTGAGAACTTTCACAGTCTTGGTCACCTTCACAGAATCACTCAGGTTGGAAAAGCCCCTTGGGATCATCGAGTCCAACCCTCAGCCCTACAAAGTTCTCCCCTACCCCACATCCCCCCACAGCTCATCCAAACAGCCCTTAAACACACCCAGGGATGGGGACTCCCCCCCTCTCTGGGCAGCCTGTTCCACTCTCTGACCACTCATTCGATGAAACATTTTTCCTCATGCCCAGTCTGACTCTCCCCTGTTGCAGTTTAAAGCCGTTCCCGTTTGTTCTGTCACTAATCCCCTGTGAGCAGAACCCAGCCCCAGCCTCTCTGCAATGTCCTGTCAGGAGCTGCAGAGAGGGATGAGGTCTCCCCTCGGCCTTCTCCTCACACTGAACACTCCCAGCTCCTTCAAGGCTCCTCACAGGATTTATTCTCCAGGCCCTTCCCCAGCCTCGTTGCCCTCCTCTGCACTCGCTCTGGCCCCTCAAGATTTCTCTTCTATTGAGGTGCCCCAAACTGGACACAACACTCCAGGTGTGGCCTCACCAGTGCAAATTACAGGGGGACTCACCTCCCTACTCCTCTGGACGCACTCTGATAGTTTGATGTCCTTCTCATGCTGAGGCTCCCAAAACTGCACCCAGTACTTGAGGTGGGGCTGCACCAGTGCGGTGTGGGACAATCCCCTCCCTCAACCAGCTAGCTGTACTGTGCTTGATGCACCCCAGGACATGGTTGGCCCAGGGCACATTGTTGACTCATTCAACATGCCATCAACCCAAACCCCCAGATCTCATTCTCTGCAGCTGTTCACCAGCCTCTCATCCCCCAGTTTGTACTGATAACCAGTATTACCCCATCCCAGGTGCAGAATGAAGCACTTGCTGTTGCTAAGTTCATACGGCTTGTGATTGCCCAGCTCTCCAGTCTATCCATATGTCTCTACCCTTGTGGGAGTCCACAGCTACTCCTGATTTAGTATCATTGGCAAACTTAATGTACATTTGACTCCTGCATCCAGGCCATTTATAAAAATATTAAAGAGTGCTGGCCCTAAAATTGAGCCCTTGGGAGCCCCACTGGTGATTAGCTGCCGACCTGATGTAACCTCATTTACTGTAACTCATTGAACCCGACCCATCAGCCAATTGTTCATCCAACATATTTTGGACTTGTCTAACTGTATGCTGGATACTTTGTCCAGAAGATGCTCTGGGAGACAGTATCAAAAGCTTTGCTAAAGTCCAAAAAATATGTACTGGTTAACCAATGTCTTAGAAATCTATTACCATATGCTCTATTTATCTATTTAATCCACTATTAAGTGGTCTATTGTATTGCCTAGAACACTTTAACTTATCTAAACTATTGGCTACACACTGTGATTGGTTTTGCACAAGCATTCATGAATGTACCATCCCGTGAATAATTGTCCTTTCTGATAAAGGATTATTTTCTTGCAAGTAATTTGCCATCTGCAGATGAGCCAGTAAATAAGAAGCAACACATACTGCGTCAGTATGGTGCCTAAACATATCTAAATAGGAGTGATAAAGAGAGGTTCTACATTCCTTTCAAAAGGCATTCCCAGAGCTCACAGCTGCTGTCTGATAGCAACCTTCCACCACAAGTTAGTCTTCTGAATTAGGTGATCTGAGTCAGCCTCTGAAAGTGTCTGTCTAAATCCACTAATTATATAAAAAGATGCTGATGTCTCAAGTGATCTGAGAGATGAGAGGGTGCTACATGGTACATCTTTCTTTCCTGCCCTGGTTGACCAGAAAATACAGCAGTTACTTTCTGTTAGACTTTCTTCCCACAGGAAAAAAAAATACATGGAGAAGTCAGGTGGGGTAGATATGCCCAAGCCTCACCATAACTGAGAGCGAGGGCATGCCCATATCATGTAGCCAGACTTGGAAAGTGCTAAATACCCCTCTTTATTGGCAGGTTATCTACTTTATATTTAAGCCATGACAATTCCTCTTTCCCAAGCTACGTGCTGAAGTATATTCAAAATGTATAAAAAAAGTGAAGGGACATTTTTTTCAGTCATCCACTGTATACAGAGCCTGTCTGCCCATTAAATTCTCAGTGATGACTATTAAATCACATTAATCCCAAAAGTGTTCCAAAATCTGAACAAAGTTCATATGTCTCTCTTCCATATGCCTCTGAAAAAGTAGACCTTTTCAGTAGACCTCCACATGAGGTCCGGTGTGTGACACATGACACACAAGGCTATGTCCCTTACCTGACACATGAGGCACGTTCACTGTCATCTCATTCAGTAACACACTGCCGTCTGATCTGAAAACCACCACCTGTATAACAGCAAATAGAATCAATGAAGCTCCAGGTACTGGGAGGAAAAGGAACTACTGAAGGAAAAAAAAAAAAAAAAAAGGGAGACATTTTGTACATTTGGACTGTGACTAAAACTTTGAAAGGAAGAATCTGTATGAAAATCTAAAGTGGCAGCAGACCCGTAGGATACAAGTAAGGTTTCACGTTGCTATTCAGTGTTTCACTTATACCTGCCTACAACAATTTATAGCAGTAATGAAATATAAAGCTTGATTGTATTGGGCACTTTGATTTCAGGAAGTAAAAGAAAATATTGGGCCTTCAGGATCTATAGCAAGCTCCTATTCCCTATAAAAGCATGTGCCACACCTTCAGTGTAATGGTTTAGTATGACTCTGGCATGGGAAGAAAGCAGTTTGCTAAACTTCCTCATAAAATTGTAATCTGTACATACAGAAACGTAAAATGATGGATTTCTGGTTTGGTTTGGTTTGGTTTGGTTCTAGTTGTGCTGACAAGGACAAGGAAGACCAGAAACACAGAAGGAAATTATGTGTGTATGTATGTAAAATTATTTATAAATATATTCTAGATATTCCCATAACCAAACAGAATACTAAAGAGAATGCAAATATAAATATTCAAGAAGGTTGGACTGTACCAAAAAAAGTTTGTACAAAAAGTCCTAAATTGTACAAAAAGACCTAAAAAGATCTATAAAATTAATTCTGAATAAAGTAAAATACTGTGAGGTGAGGAAGAACGGTGCTCTTACTTCCAGTTAGGCTGGAATACGGTGAGAACAATCATATAGCACAGAGCAGGGAAGTGAAGAGGGGAAAATGTCAGCTTTTTTTGAATCTCATATTTTGTTCAGGTCTATTTTGAGTGCTCGAGGCAGAAGTTTGAGCTGGTTTTCAGCCTGTCTGAAGTGGCTTATCTATCCACAATAGCAATTCCGTAAGAATTAGTTATTGCTCCACGGCAAGGGAAATACGCCTAATTTCAACATATCTAGCAGAACCCACAGAACACTTACATTTTTTTTGTGGTCTACCAACAACACAACAGTCTTCAAACATGTCTGCCTGTCTGTGGAGCCACAGGGAGCCAGCTCTGCCAGGAGAGAATGGCTGTCACTCACAGTACCCTACAGTCACAGAGAAATACATGTCCATTAGTTGAATCAAAAATCTCACAGGCTGTTTCCAAAACAAAGACGAGTCATCAGTTACAATAATAATTACTATAGAACTTAGCTATTAAGACCACTGTTTCAGCACTCGCTCTGGCAGCTTAACCATCTTTCAAACAATTTCAGTGGTATGGTTTCTAGTTCAACAAGATCTTTGCCATTCTCCAGAAGAACAGGCGCCAGGATATTTTAGGGACAAATGAATGAAATAGCAGCCTAGGCTCCTTTTCCCAGCTGTCACTGACACTCGGACACAGAAACAGCTATTACAGATCTGGCTGAGAGCTTCTAATCCTGAGAACTGCCAATTTTTGTAGTCTACCTATCCATGAAGCCAGAGGGATGCTTTGATTTCTTATAGATGAAGGACTCCACTGGATAATGACAGCATACATAGTCTTCTATCTAAGTTAACTAAGTGCCCGACTCCCCCCCGGGATATGACAGCCCATCCTGAATTTTTCAGTAGAGCTTTTAACGTTTCTGCTTCCCTCATCCCATAAAAATGGAATAAAAGAGCAGTTCACAGCTGCTATGTATCAGCACCCAGACACTTGTATTTGCAAGAGAAAAGCCCTACAGTACACAGTACCTTGGCCAACACATAGTAACAGTTTCCATGGAAGGTGTATTTCTTCCCATCAAAGGTGGTGATATGGGAACCTCCTTCAACTGAACATGTGCCTGGACAGGGTAAATCTTTGCACGTCCATCTGCCTGAATTACAGGTGCTATAAACAGACAAATAATTAAATAAATGCCTGTAGATTTTACAGGATCCTAGAGCACTGGAAGCATCCGTATACCTAGCAAAAAGCAAGATACCCCCAGGTGTTTTAAAACTGCATCTTTGACCATTTCCTTTAAGATTTCCCCTCTGCTATAGATGTAAGAAAACTTTTCAGAAAATCGGTTGTGTAGACACACAACATAAATATTAAGTTCAGAATGTATTCAGGAAGTCTCCTATGACTAACCGGAAGGTTGAAAAATGCAGACGCATTTACAATCACTCAAAGAAAGGTGGATAAACAACCATGATTCTTACCACTCTTCACATTCATTGGTAATGCTTTCTCCGGGTGAGTACTCCTTTCCATGGAGCTTGCAGTGGCACTGGCTAACAGGTATGCAGCCTTTTTCCGTAACATCATCATACACAGTTCCTGTAAAGCACAACAGTAAACTACTCCAGCTCTTTCTGAAATAAGCAATTTCCTCAGAGGATAAACTCTCAGAGGAGGCATGCTTTCAACTTGACACAGAAAGCAGAAACTGAGATTATCAAAACTGTAGAGAATACAGTTTCTACCTTTTGTAACATAAAATACCTGGAAAACCCTTTATCTAAATCTAAATCTATCCATTTATATAACCATACACAGATTAAAAGCTTAATATAAATATACAAGAACAATCTTAGAATTTTGCATGTTTTGATATTCAGATCTTCTGGTATACTCTGTAGACTATCATTGTAACGTTTTTTCCTAAGGCTGAGAATTTTATTCGCTGTCCCTCATTATCACTGTCTGAGCAAATGATGTCCTTTGTCTCAGAACTATTCAGCCTAGAAAGCATAATTTTCTATATATTAGCAGAAGTCCATTTGTTGAGAAGTAAAAAGCAGATTTATTACCTGTCATTGTGTTAATATGATTTAACTATAAAATTATGGATTGATTAATTAATCAATTAGGACCTACTTTAAAAAAAAACAAACAAACAAACAAAACCACAAAACAAACAAACAAAAAACCCCACCAAACTTATAATTATGTTCCCCTAGAGGGGAAAATAATGAATAACAGTACTAATTTTTAAGATGTAATTTGACTACGTTTGATATTTTAACCATGATCTCCTCTGCCAGAGCTCTTGGTTTTGTTCATGTACAATAGTTGCAATAACACTTGCCTTCGGGGCAGAAACAACCATCCATGTAGTGTTCCTCACACAGGCTGCTGATCTCCAAGTGTGAGCAAGTGTCCATGCAGGGTGAGCTGCTTTCTCTGTAGACCATGGTATCGGGACAGGACTTGGCTGAAAGAATGAGAAAGACAGCAGCAGTTATTTGAGTGTAAAGTCCATCATTCCTGAGAAACCACAGATCATATCTCCTACTCCCCTCAAGGCAGTAGCAACCCAAAAGCATGTTTGTCTATTTCTGAGCTGCTTCCTCTGTCATTTATATTTTCTTCTTTTGGTTTTGAATAGATGCGCTTATCCCAGCCACATGCAGCATCAGACCTCACAGTTTTTCAATGGGAGCAGAATTTCTACGTCATGAAAAAATTTCTTAATAGCAAGGGTAATAGAAGAAAACAGGTAGAATATAGTATGTAGTTTATCACACTACTGGTATGAAATGTATAACATATGCCTATAGTTTTGTAAAGAATTAATGAATTTAAATGTTTCACAGCATTCACATCCATGAGATATTTGTTTCTTTGTAAAATTCATATAGCTGCTTACGGCAGAAGTACTGTGTCCTCCATTCACCCGGGCGGCCACCTGCGTGTGAGCACTGGCGAGAATACTCAGAGATGGTGCTGCAGAGGCAGAAGGAGTCCTCGTGTCCATTACATGCACACTTGTCCTGCATGCAGGCTTGGATGTATATTTCCAAATTAAGGCGTAACCGACAGTCAGCAAATGCAGAGGAAGTTAGCAACCTCTCACACTCATCACGCTAAGGAGGAAGAGTAATATTATTTAAGAGATTTGTAAGCACGTAAGCTTCTAGATGCTTCCTGTCTGGTCATAGAAACTGTCATCTTTTGAACAGCAACAGTTAATCAAGATGGGAAGAAGAAACCATTTGCCCTGGAAGAGGCAAAATCTTCCCAGCTCCTTACACACTAACCCCCCATAGTACAAGGACATCTCTATGTGTCTGTGCAAGTGAAGTTCACAATGAGGAATACTCACATGCTCATTACAGTTTGGAAGAGCCTGAGTTTCATCAGGATCTTCACATTTGGCATTGGGTTTGCTGATCTTCTGTAAATTCCCGTATGTAATTGAATTGTAGCTTGCAGCTATGAGAAAAAATTACAAAGAAGTCTTGCTGAGCCCCAAAAACTGACAACAAGGAGCATCTGATTCCTGGGACTCTACTGATCAAGGAAAACAGTTACTATGGTGTCAACTATGCCTGTCAGACATAGATCTCTACTCTGAATTATGTTAATTATGTCTAAGTATGCTTAAAAATTTAAAGTGGTAACAAGAAAAGAAGGCCAGTAGAGAAAAAACCAAGATGATTCATCTGAAATAAAATAACCTTAGACCAGGACTGCAGCACTGGAGTATAATGTTTATTCTGGGGCAATCACAAAAATCTCTCAGGTGAAATTTGCTTTCCTGTGATGCTCCTATGCACAATGCTTATCAACCTATCTTCTGAGATAACTGTCAGTATGGTAGGATAACTCACGTCCATTGATAAACTCATTGTAGATTGGAACTCCATTGTAATCCCCGCAGAGACCACATGTATGGTTATTAAATTTGCTGTCCAGCTCCACCTAGATAATGGAAAGAAAAAACAAAACACAAAAAAACCCGGAAAATAGATTCTGGAGCATGAAGACTTTCCAAAGCAAGTATGTTTACTCAAAAGGGAAGTCACTAAATGACAGAAGTGATGGTGAACCCAAAACTCTTAGAGAAGTAGCTATTGCAAGGGTATTTGTAACAGAGTTAATAAGCACCCAGTTAGATGCAAAAGGTAACATGGAAAATAGTAATAAGTGACTGAAGGTCCTGTATTTCAACAATGGCAGTAGCCATCATGGTGATAAAGATGAAAACATTCTTAAAATCGAGGACTTTTTTTTTCCTCCTTTTTTCCCTTCTAGGACAAAATTTAAGTCTTGTTGTGAATTAGGAAAGTTGATGATGGCAGTCCTTTAAAAGACAAATGAAGGAAAATGCAGATTGGATTGCAGGGGTACTATAGAAAAAACATTAGCTATTTCTCAGAAAGCTCCTTTTCCCTTTCTTAAGACCAGTAAGATCATCCTCATGCCATACTGCATCATACTCCATCACACTGCAGAGAAAGACACCTTCAGTTTTAAAAATAAGGTACTATTAGTGTCAGCTGGATGAGTCAGCCTAACACTCTAGCTCCGTTCAATTTGTGATATTCTACTTCTGTTCAGCATACAGTAGTCTGTTAAACCCAGGGAACACCAAAAAAAAACCCAAAAAAACTTGGATCATACATACCATCAGTGCATCTTCCTGATTCCATATCAGAGTCAGGCCTAACTTGGCATAAACCTTAGTGTAAATGTCATCGCTCTCAATGAGCACACCAGAGCTGTAGTAAGGTGTCTTCACACTAGGAAGAAATTCAGACACTCTGCTTTAGTACAGAAGCATAAGAGGTGACATGAATGTCTGTAATGAGCCAAATACCCAACTGAACAGAGAAATCAGGCTCTGTCTACCTGATCCCACCTGCACAGGATGCCGTGTCCTAATGAGGCATAAAAACCTCTCTCTCCGACACTTCATGCAATAACTCATTGCCTTTAAAAGGCAAACCAATTTCAAAAGCCAAACCTCCTCAAGGATATTGGTTCTTTAAGAAAAAAGCCAAAATTCCAGCTGTCTTCAACTTAATCAAAGGAAATGCCATCCTCATTGTTATATTATCAGAGGACATTCAAACAGTCACTAATAATTTACTTCCATGAAAGAAGTAACAACATAAATGGAACCTTCTCTTTACCAAAAGATCCGACAACCATTTCAGAAAGAATGAACGTTCCTTTGCAAGTATCTTCCTTCTCAAGAGAGAGTTCAAAAAGCAGATACAGGGACTGCCAACAAAATTTTGAAAAGAAAGGAGTATGGTAAGAGGAATTCAGTAGTTTGTTTCATTGGTTTAGGGTTGACAGGACCAAGTTTGTTAATGGTGACAGCAAGGCATGTTAAGGTGACAGAAGGTATTTTGCAGAAGTTTGAATATAAATGTTTTTGTCTGCTAAAGAATCAACTCACTAGATCTCTCTCCTGCTCTTGTACGTCTGTCTTAGTGCACTATGTAACAAGTCAAATTGGTGAAAGCAACAGAGGGATTGTGGCAAGCAGCCTCAACGTATAAAATAAACTAGAGTCTGTTCAAACAGAAGTAAACTGGAATCCAGTCAAAATAACCAGTTCATTTTCTACAGATTTGCCAATATAATTGTTACCTATCAGGATTCATGTCTGTCTACACACATCTTCTCTTAACTACTATCTGGCTGGGAGAGTTTTATCTCCTAATTTCCCGTCACTGGGATTTTTCCAACTGTTTACCTCAGGCATTATTAACATGGCCAAATGACTTACACATCTACATACTAAGTGGGAACTCAGAAGCCGTTATTGTTACTTTTGTCTGCATTGTTCATCCTCTGGGCAATGAGACGTGAGAGATCATTGTTCTGGAGAGGGATCATAAAACCCTGGGCAGCCTTTCATCTTTCAGCTATCACAACATGGAATATTTGTCTTTTTTTCTAGTACTAAGACATTCAGTCCATCAGTGTATTAGGTACCAAAAGGCAAATTCATACACTTTTCTACTTTACAGTTTTCACTTCAGAAGGGTAAAATAATATTTTACATGTCAATGGATCACATGTCATTTAAATGGGATTTAATACGGGAAATTAAGTTCTACAAAAACCCTAAATTGCTCATGCAGCAAACACCTGTTCAGAAGGCATCTATTGTTTTGTGAACACTACCTAAGAAAAAAAGAGGATTGGTTTAAGCAAAACAATTTCTTTTTTTTTTTTTTTTTTTCCTTCATGTCATTTTGTTATGCATTCTGGTTTGATCCTTGGAAAACAGAATGTTATTTTCTATATATGAACAGATTTTCATTGCAGCGTCTTCCAAACTTCAGAGTAAAAGCTGAGTTATGGGCAAAACCCAGTCTTACCATGACAATAGAATGGATTTTTTTAAAATTATGCTAAAACAGACTAACAGCCAATTCCATCTTCAGAACTATGTCCAAAGCTATGAGTTACTTCACTTGTTTCAGTGTGTATATATATACCCAGACTGAAAGGATAGGTTAGCGATAGGAAAGGCTAGGTTAAGACACTACTTAGCACCAGTACTAGTTCCTTGTGCGACCATGTTACAGGAGAACAAAAATACTATAGCTCACTGAAAAAGTACGTATTGCCACACACAATGTCTATTTTGACCTACAGTATAACAGCTTGAGGAATGTCCATAGGACCTTAAGGACCTTAAACAATTATTTATGAAGATCAGAAAAAAACACCTCTCTTCTGCCACAATACAACATAAAAAGACTCTGCAGAAATGCATCTTCATTTTTGAGGATTTGCTAGACCATCCGCTAGGGTAAACTCAAGGTGATGACATAAAACAGATGAAGCTGTATCATTTTATGTCAGTGAAAGATCCACTTCATTAGCTGCATTGATTCCTGCACAATCAGAAGAACAATTCACCCAAACCTCTTCCTGACTTGCATTTAAATAATCCCTTATATCAGTGCAGAAATGACAATTAATACTGAAGCTCCTCCTCAAAGCAATTTTTATGCTGGATTTCAAAGGGATTTTTTTTTTCCTTGTGAAAATGCTTGTAGCAGTTACCTTAATGGTAGACAGACACTTGTGTAAAGAATGAATCCTGCTTTTATCTTCCCAGCACATCTCCCTGAAATACTATTGCACTAAAGGTACTTACATATGCCCATCCACCACAGCCAGTTTTGGCCTGAGGTACATTGTAAAGTCCTTGATTGTTATCAGAATATACTGGATTTCAGGGTGGTTATTGCTATTCAGAGCACGCTGAATGTGGACAGAGAACTCCTTGTAAGACTCTCGGCAGTCAGAAGCAAAATTATACTCGCAAATGCCAGGGTACTGATAGATGTCTCCATCGAAAGTTTTGAAATGGTTGTTTCCCCAAGTGCTGCAGACGGAGTGGCCATGGTTTCTTGTCCTTCCTGTTAAGTGATGAAAAAGATAAAGGCATTAAAAAAGTGAAATGAATGAGCTAACGTGAAGAGAAAGTAAGTGGTATATTTTACAGTATAATCCACTTGCAATTATGTGCACAGTGATTCCACACATCTCAAGTCTGGTCAAGTATCTGCCTCTTAGGCAGAAGAGATGTGAATCTCTAATGGAAAATAAGACATTAACGATGGCTGAGACCTGGATATGTCTCATACTCCTCACTGAGGTGAAGGACGTTCTCTGCATGAGGTGGGGAAACAACTCTCTGATCACTACCAAGCTGGGTACATCAGTGCAATGGAGCTGCTTTGCCAAACATTAATTTATCTGAATCACAGTATTATTGTTAGCAATATTAAATATTTCTAAGAGCTATTTTCTTCCCTGATACAACATGCACTAGAAAGGAAACAGTTAGGAAACCAAGAAAGTACCACTTCTACTCTGGAAGACAAATAAGTTAAATGTTATGAAAGGACTTGTGCACAACAGGAGTTTTTAAAGAATTCCTTCTTTTCCTAACAGTGAATTAGTACAGAATAGAAATTCTTCAGAAGATAGGTTAGAAAATAACTATGGCAGAAGCAAAAAAAAATTTTTAAAAATTATTTTTTTGCAATAGCAAAAGGTGAAGATAATGATATTTGTTCCCTTCCCCGACATCTATACCAACAAATAATACAAATTAACAGTATCTGATAAATCTCAAGGTGCTGTAAATTAGGGGTGAACATAAAACCTGAGCACACTTGGGAAGCTTGCTAAGGTACAAAACCACACATGTCACTCATCTTCACAAGGTTTTCTTGCGGTGTTTGATTTGAGAAGTCAAAACTACCAAGTGGGCCTCTAAGTTATTGTGCATTGGGGGTATCAGTCACACCAGACACGTCCAGCCAAGCTGGCATGCTTGTGTCCCCAGAGAAAAGGCTACACCAGCATTCTCCCAGAGCTCACAGCTGGGATAACAAGTGCAAGATAATGCTTTCCTCCCCTTGCTGAATTCAAGACGCAGCAGACCAAGACCAACACCCCAGACCTGATCACTTCACAAAATTCATCACCTATTCCTCAAAAAAATAGTTTGCAGTATGAGAGCTCCATTTCAACATTTCAAACAAAGTTAATAACAAAAAAATTAGAGCTTTTATACAGAAGGGTTGTTAATTCTGGAATGACAAAATGGGCTTTGTCCAATGTTACTACATTCACTTTTGAAGAAAGTATTTATACATTCCAAGGTAACAGAAGGCTTAATCATCCACTTTCTTCATTGCTGTAGCAATGAACCTCCCAAACTCCTATAGTTGCTTTCTGCCAAGTAGTTGCCATACCTAGAAACGTATCAACACACGGAAAGAAAAGTAACACTGAAAATATTTTCCAAACGCATCAAATTAGAGATTAATGCAGTAGATATAGGTATTAGTATCTCCAAAGAGAGCAGTATCTATCTATGCTGGCTGAGCCATCCATGTAGCCTCAGCATTTGAAAGTTTAAGAAATCGAAGGCACCTTAATAATCCAGTGCATTATTTAAATGCACTGTCTCCTTCTACCCCTGCAGTGGTATTTTAATTCTTTCCCTCTTTTACAGGAGACAATCTGCTACCATTTAATTTCTAGAGCTTACCTTTTCTTATTTCATTTGCATAGGAAAGAGCCAGCCAAAGCGTAATAAGGCTGGCAACTCTTAGCCCCATGGTGGCTAAGGTGGGTGAACTGGGAACTCCACTGAAAATTTTTCTTTATATAATATCCACTGCTGCAATTGATTCTATCACAGAGGAGGAGATACAAAGGGAGGAAGAAAGAGGAGGGGTAAAAAAAATAGGCGTGATATTTACAGAAGATAAGAAGTAAACAGACAGGTATTTTTAACCATAAATTAAGGAATTCAGTATACAGGAAATGGTATAATATTGATTCAGCAATCATGCAATTTTTTTATTGCTCTATTTCATCTACAGGATGCTATGCTTTTAAATCCTTCAAATGCTCACGTCAAGTTTAACCTTCAGTAACTCCTATAACAAATAATGAATTTTGGAGTGGCCAAACAAAGAAATCCCTTGAAGGAAGCTTAGGATATGATACCCTCAAACAATGGCTTCAAAGCCAAAGGATTTTACATTTTTCACCATCACATAGAATTATTTCTGTAAAAATTAAATGATGCTTGTGAAGCTCCTCATAGACAACAGTAACTCTTACAAATAAAAAAACTATACACCATGCATTGTAAAGTTATTTTACAGGCAATTGCTGAATTCCTTTCATTTGAAAATCACTGGGGAGCATCTAAAACAAGGTATAGCCCAGCATGTTATGCCCAAACAATAATTGAGATGGGGTGACAAGTTAAGCTCAAGGAATCCACAACAAAAGAGATGTTCTATCAAACATTGTCATGGTGCAACAGAATGTCCATCAAAAAGGTTGTAGTGATTCTCACAACATAAAAAGCTTTGAGGGGTGGGGGAAAGGGGAAAACATCACTGTTCAGACTGAATAACAATTGTTTTGAGACAGAATCCCCCTAAACAGCCCATTCTTGCTTACCTTCTATGTGAATGATAAATTTACAGTCTATTGTTCCTTGTCAGATCCTGCAAAAGCCATAGGGTCAGCTATGCTTTGTGCAGAGAAAGGTGATGAGGGTCTTTGGGAGAAGAAGCACAAAACAGAACCAGTTCAGAACGCTGCTTCAGAAATACAAGATTTCCACACGCACTGTTAGTTACTCTGAAAAATTCCTTTGAGACGGTGTTTCTGCAGCTCTCTTCAGAAGTCAAAACACAGACTCCTTGAGGTAAAATACGCTTATTTCAACAGATCTTTTAACACGGCTGCTTCATAACACTGACAGGGTTTACTTTTTAAAGCTCCCAGCCCAGGTTCTGTATTTTCTCATAAAAAGTTTCTCAGTGCAGTGTCCAGAAATCTCTAATCCTCTTAATTGTTCAGAGTGTTCCTTACTTTCATTGCTCAAATTACAAGTAGAACTTTTATATTTTGCAAAACACCAAGGAAACTCTTCACTTAGCCCTTTTGACGGCTCTATCCAACCAGAAACACCCTTTTCTCATAAAGGCATTGTCTTTAGCTGTGGTTTTCTTTTATTTGCTATTTTTATCTCTTTTTTAGCCTCAACCTGAATATATTCCTGTTTTCTCTCAATACATCTCAAAAGTTTTTATACTTTCTGCTTTTTCTATTTGAGGATACAGATTTGCACTGATCTCACTCTTACATAGGTGGGAGAACTCATGACACACAACACTCATGACTGAAACTAAGTAGTTGCCCTTTTCTCCTTTGAGAGTCTACCACTAGAAGAATAAAAATTAATTTTCCTTCTTGGAAAATAAAACCAGTAATAACCAGTGGGGGAAAAAATAGAGTAAAAAAGAAGACACACTGTCTACAGAGACCTTTCCCCATGGTTACTTTCACAGGTTTACCTTTTTATAATACTTCAGAGATATCTGCTGTCTTGGAATTTTCTGTCTTTTATGCCACCAAAACTCCTAGTTCAGAAATATTTTCTAAAAATATTTAGGTGATTCCTGAAGGAATTTATTTTGAGCTTTTCTTTTCCTTTCATGTTTTTCCAGATAGTCTCCTGTGTGAAACAATTACTGCTCCAGAAAAAAAGAGTCTCCATGACTTAATTCATATACAGTTTTTGCAAACTGTAACAGCAACTCCATGTACACAGCAGACCTGACCCCTTTTTTAGATTAAATTGGATGTGTATGCTCACATGTAAGTTGGTGTAAGTTGGAAGCTTGCATATTCTCCTTTCAGGTATCTTTGCCATGAAATTTCTGGGTCTGGAACCAGCCTTTTTACTATTTGCTGGGACTGTGCAAGGTAATCATCCTTTACCTAAAGATGCACCGTCCCTCAGTTCAATATGCTGGTGTTTTTCTCCTATGCAGGTGAGAGATGTACCTTACTTTGGGTGATGTGGATAGGCCTAACCCCTTGTAGAGCTACTCTTAGCCAAGCACTGCTAAGTTTTAGTGACTGATTTTCTCTGCTCCAGCTCTGGCCTCCCTACAGGGACTATGATTCCTTCTTGGGCTATAGAACAGGACTATTTTCCTTCTCCAGTCTTTTCTTCTCAGAATAACCAACCATCATCTATCATTGACCCTTCTTCTGACATATAGCTGTGGCATCCCAAACTGAAGAATAAGGGAAAGCAACATGCCTTTGAGCACTGAGACCACTCTTACAGAATTTGCACTCAAGCTTACACAGCTGTGCTGATCTGAGGAGAAGCAAGGACAGATCCTTATCGTCAGAATTCACAAGTATTTGCACTTTTGCTCCCTTAGAAAGTGTCCTAAACTATACCATCTCTGTTTCCTTATTGCCAGAAGGGTAATGATCCTGTCTACCATCTGCTTTATATAACTTCCAGGAATAATCAGTCTTTGAGGTAGACAGCTACCTTACAGTTTATTGGATTACGAATTTTAATTCAGAAGAATCTTACTGTTAATACACAGACAAGTCTGCATCCGTATGTATGCATTATTTATCTACTATAAATTGTTTGACAACATGAAGTAATCAATTTTGGAACAATGATAATTCTGCTTTAATGTTAACATCTTTGCTTTAAGCTTACATCAGTTCTCTACATCTGAGTTGGCCTGTTTGTGGACCTTCATGCCATTCCTTGCTTCTGGTCATCTTAATCGGAAGTCATCTTCCTCTTTCCAATACGAGGTGTTCATTTACCTTTAATACCAAAGATACTTCTTAATTCTGCATGCATTTCAATCCTCTCCCAGTAGGGACACCACAGCTGAAAACATATGGAATCTGAACTGGGTAAAAGCTCTCACTGTGCAAGTGGCATCACCAGAATGAGATGAGAAGGAATGTTTTCATATTTAGGTCCCACTGCTGATTCTTAACAGTGATAGTTTTTTAAAAGTTCCCAAAGTCCAGGAGTAGAAATACAAGTTCCCATAATTTTTCACTATATGCCTGACCTCGGAGGCCCAGTACCAGTGCTACAGCAGCCAGTGCTAAAATTCAGAGTTAAAAGAAAAAGTTGATTGCATGGCAAGTGTGTTTGTTATAGCAGCAGATGCAGAAGGAGAGATGAAAAATGTGGTTTGAGTCATAGTTGTGTCAATGCATTCACTGCCTCCCTACCCTTAAACTTTTATGAGACTATTTCTAACCATTCCATCAGCATAACTAACTTTTAATGTTCATATTAATTACAATGTAAATTTATTTTGCTGTTAAAAAAAGAACCTACAGAGAAGATTATCTTCATTCTGACTCACACTGTAGAAAAAAATGGCCTAGATGGAAAATTCCTATTACTTTAAAATAAAACTGAGCAGAGGCCTGACTATGTTTATTGTTTTAGGAAGAATAAAATATTTTTCAAGAATTTGGGGTCTGTTTCTATCTGTTGATGTACCAAGAGGAAAACTCACTGCAGTATTGTCACAGCAATCCCAGCATGACCCCCGTACAACTACCTCAGAAAGTACAATTATACCTGGTGACTGAAATTTTTTCCGTATCTGCTCGTGTATTCCTGACTTGCTGCTGACCACAGGCTCTTCAACCAAGAAGCAATGTTCTATTGGTGGTTTTGCCCTGCAGAAGTAGCCACTGCATTTTGTTCTGCCACTCTTCCACAAGCCAGCATTTCACCAGAGCACACAAAGCCTTCCACATGACCATCCAACTGCACAATATACACATCACTCCCTTTGTCTCAAGCACAGAGATGGGTTGCTTGAACTCCCTGGCAGACATGCTAAAAGAGCTCTGGCAAAATATAGGCAGATTATGAATTAAGAGATGTCTGACACATAATCACGGTAGTTCCTTGACTGAGACACCAGTAAGCACTCCATAATACACCTTGACAAAATCTTAAGAAAACACAGAGACAAGCAGCAGAATGAAGAGTACAGAAAGAGAGTTTCAAAGCAATAATGTAGAAGTAACGAGGATGCATTTCCTTTTGGTGTGTGTGCTGCCAACAGACCAACCTAAAATTATCAACATAAAAGCAGCCAGTGTTTATATAGATGTGCAACTGGGATAAAATTACCAAAACTATTAATTTATAGGTTTTATGTTATTAAAGAGTTAGAAACAAATGGCAAAAATCCCCATGGCTATAACCAATTTATTGCTCTCTCAGACTTTCTAGTGGGAAGTCACTAATCACTATTTTTACAAAAAGAACTTTTACAAAAAGTAAGGTATTCAATAGTCAAGCTTTTATTTAAGGAGATGTTACAAAAATCCACATAGTTTTGATTGATCCTAGGTCCCTTCTGGAAACAGGTTGATATCGTGTAATTATCTATCCTATCGTTTTACCTTAAAGTATTCAATTTCTGATTGGACTAATCTCAGCCCTACCACTAATTTAATCGTTGTGACCTTGAGCAAGTCTTTGGGTTATTTGCATTCTTTTTTATTCGGACAAATACAATACTGTAAGGTATCTGCTGATGCTAGCTGCTAGCTGGAGGATAACATTCTCACATGCCCTTCCTTAAGTGGTTTGGCACAGAAATGTTAAGATTAGCATCATTTTCCACTCATAATACTTCCTTCTTTTTGTCAGTAGCTCATACTCTGAGACTGAGGTTGCAAAACATTTCTTTCTCTTCCATTTAAGTACAAATGGGGATAAACATGTGAC